ACTCAACATTGCCTGAAAGAACACACATTTGTTCTAAAATAGATTAGTTGGCAAAAGATTATAAAAATTTAGAAAGATATTTTGAGTCCATATGAAGAGCAGCTATGATAGGTAATATGAATATCCTCTACTCCACTAAATGTACAGAACTTCTGAAGGAATAAAGTATTAAGTGATTCCTTCCTTCCAGATGGGCAATGTGCATTGCACTTTAAATTCAAAGCTCTAAAAGCTAAGCTACTACGTATTTCCTCAATCCAAATGGTTTATGCAATGGGTATTGCTATAAATAAGCCATATATGTAAAATGATGTGCATTTCATTGCTTGAAGCAAATAACCCTTTCCCCCCTTTGAGCAGCTGCTTTGTTCTACTAATGGGAAGGAGTTGCTGTAGCATTCTTGTATGATTTAGAAAAGGATTCAGATAGTTGAGCAATTCCTTTCTATTTGGTTTCATTGTGTGAGTAGCATAGCTCAAGGGGTTCATTACTGCATTGCCTACAATGGATACTTTGAGCACTTCATCTCTGATTTCTGAAATTGTATCAGTGTGATGGTGCAGACCAGTGCTGTAACCACACTGGATACTGATAGACTGCAACCAGTTTAGAAAGGCTGTAAACTATAGACCTGATTGAGAATTTGCCTGAAAGTATGACAACTTAAAATGTGCACTGAGATGGGGCCATGTACTTGGAGCAGGCTGGCCCCTCTCCAAGCAGTTCAGACCTTGCCGTGTAGAATCAGCAGGGTCTAAAACAGAATTCTGTTTGCATTTACTGGGACATAAGTAGACCTGTCAGTTCAGCTGGGAACCCAGATTTATCAGACTTTGAAGGTGAGAAGAGAGATTCTTGTGCTGGCCCCTTTGAGGAATCCCTTGCTTCTCCCTGACTCCTGACAGGTTGGAGATAAGCAGGAGAGAGGAATTGCTGTCTCCATGGTAGCAGGGGGTCTAGTGCGCCACCAGCAATGGCTTTGCAAGCTGTATGTGGCCTGCAGCCACATTTCTTGCGCCCATGCCCTTCTTCATCCAGGCTTACAAGGGCCTTCTGTGCAATGTGGTCTTTGCTTTAAATCAGGAATGGGAAACATCCACCTAGTGGGCTAGATGTGATCCCGTCCCTGGACCACAGGCTTCTTCAGTAGATTCAACACAAATTCTGTATCATGTTCTTCAGCTTTTAGCTCTGTTCATTTATTAGAAATAGAAGGCTCTTTAAAGGTGTTTAATTTTTAAACATCATGCTAAAACTTTAGTGGAGGCCTAAGATCTGTTGCACTGGAGCTTACTCCTGAGCAGACTTGCTTAAAATTACAATGTATAATTAAAATTACACTGCTTGATAGGAAAATGTCCAAACTGGTAAGAATTAAATCCGCTTTTGGCTCTGCCATTCCTGGAATACAGCTCGAGAGATGGTTCCCAAATTTCAGTGTGGCCCTTGGGCCAAAAAAAATTGTGCCCTCCCCCACTCCTCAGATTTAAGCAAGGAAACATTCTGTTGTACTGAATAATCCATCTATGGAGAATGCAATGCCAGGGGAGCAGCTTTCAAGGTTTATAGAGTCAGCTTTTACAATAGAAGCTTAAGGTCCACCAAGTAGAGTCAGTTGCAAAAAATAGTGGCTCAAGAAGGTGGGCACAGAATTGCAGAATTCCATCGAGAAATGCATGGATCAGGTACCTGAAATATTTCATCCAACAGGTGGACACTATCATAACAAAAAAGCGATGCTGCAAGTAATTTAGTGATTGTGATGGTACTTCACTGTGAGATATCCCTCTGCTTCTATACCAAAACAATCCAAGTTCATCAAAAGTCTTTTACTTATCTGAAGTATTGCCATTTTCTGAACAATACTACATTTATATCTATTTTTTGCCTAGGTTTTTTTGCAAGGAAAAAATGGCAGCACCAAAAACAACAACTCTGAAAAAAGTAGTGCTAAAGTCCTAAGATGTTTTTATAAACAAATGTTTAAGGAGTTCATTAAAGATACTGGGTTTCAGTCAAATTCAAGCTTCCTCAACTGCATAGAGCACTGAACATTTTAACTTTGCCAGAACTGAGATTCTTCTGTTGAAGGCAACATCTTTCTCCAAAATCCCTGAACCTGGATAGGAATGGCTGTATTGCATTCAGATCTTTTCTGAGATCTCTGTATTGTTGCTCCAACTACATGTCAGGAGCAACTGCACTAAAACATTCTCAATTCCATTTGATAACATAACAATGTTCTTGGAACTGTTTATAAACATTTAGATAATCAGTTTTAAGTTGCTCCATTTTCTCTGTATCCAAGAATATATATGGTGGATAATCAATACTGTCATGTTCATGGGAGACTGGAAAGATATTTTGCATTATTTGAAGGTGACCTTTTAACTGTCTGAAGCAGAGAGTTTCTTCATAAGCCAAACAAAATCTCAGTAACCACATACTTGTGATGTCTTTCGAGAAACTTCCAAAAATTCTTGGTAACTGAGTCAAGGTTCATCAATTATGAAAGAGGGGCTACAGCAAACACATTGCATAGCTCTATTTTTCTTGAATAGCATTTTCAAATGCCTAATTGCATGAAGAACATCCAAATATGTACCGCTATTAGTTACAATCAAAAATACATCCGATTTCCTTTGTTGTATTGCTTCAGCTAAAGCTACCATTCCAAGAGAGACCATGCATAAAGTGTGCTATTAAAAACCATTTTTACCACAGTGTGAGAATTACCATTTCTCTAAAAACATCAGTGTTTCCACTTCTATGGGGATGCTTGCCTATACAGTGCTGAAGATCCTGTGTGTAATGGTTATTTATGGTAGGAACTGGGCCATCAAACTACATTGGGAGATTCAAAACAATATCAACAACAAAGTATAAAAAATACTTTATTGCTAAAAAGGGAAACGCAAACTGGACTGTGACAGTATATTAAGGGTGTGTACACTGGTTGTGTGACAGGGTGAGGAATATGTGGTAGGAAGCTAACATGTATTGCTGGTGTATTGGCATATGAAATTAGTACGTGGTAGGCATGTCATGAGTGGAGCAAGGGGTCAGACTAGATGGCCCGGGAGGCTCCTGACTCACTCTGTTTCTATGTTTCTATGTTCTATGCTTCTATCTTTCTAGTGTCTGAGATACAGCCCGTGAGAATATGAGTATGTTGCCATTCTCTAAGCTTGAGGCCTGTCTTAGTAGATTCAACACAAATTCTATATAATTTTCTATCTAAATTTGATTACATAGAGTCGGAAAATACTTCGATTTTATTTATTTATTTAGGATATTTATATGCCATCCTATTGCAAAAGCCTCAGGACAGCTTACATAAATTAAATGTTGAAGTGTCTTGTATATGTACTTTTCAATTATTAGCCCACACTGATATCTTCACTAAAATGTTTGATTGCCACCTGCAGTTTCTGTGCATATTTACCTGAAAAAAATCTAGTAAGAAATAAGACAGATTTTATTATATATATACATATATTTATTGCATATATGCCACACCCCTTAGCTAAAAGGCTTTCTGGGCATCTTTCATATTGCAACAATAAAACACCAAATTAAAATAATTCATTTGAACAATAAGATAATAAAACAGTCAACAGATAATAAACAATTTATTTATTTATTTATTTATTTAAAACATTTCTGTGCTGCCCCCATTGCAACAAAGCCTCGGGGCGGCTCACAACATCCTTAAAAATACAATCAATAATTTAAAAACTGGTATCTCGGCTATATATTAAAATCTATAAATACAATAATAATAAATTAACAGTTAAAATAACTTTTAAATAACAATAAAGACAATTGATTAATAATGAAACTGTTTAAAACAATAATTCCAGAGAGAGAAAGAGAGAGAGAGAGAGAATCTGGTAACTAAAACTCTCAACATGGCAGCTCTTAACTCTCAGGAATCATAGAACCATCACTTATCAAGTTGCTTACAACTTTCAAGGGTTATTAGAATATGCCCATACGCTTGTTTGAGAGAGAGAGGACTTGTTGGGATGGATGGAGGAGGTTCAAGGAGTATTCCAATGAGATGAAGATACTGACCTGGTTGGCATGTGGTGGCCCATGGCTTAGACAGCTGGTGGTTTTGTGTGAGTAGGAGGGAGTGGGCTGCTTCCTGTGAGCCCACTACATTGTCTTTTAATTTGTAGTGGGGTCCCTTTCCTGTTGCTGTTAAACATTGAGCATCATGCCCTTTTTGATCAGTACATGACACTTTTCTGTGTTCTGTTACTTACCTTTTATTCATAAAATATACAACAGTCCCTTTATTACTATTTCTAAATCACCTTTTCTGAGTTAACAGGGAAAATCCTTTTCAAATCTCCTGCAAGTCATTTTTGTAGCAAATGTTTGTGCGAGTGCATGTGTACCTGTGCACCCTTACTCTCCACAGGTAAGGAAGCCATTTGATGGTCTTCCGTAGCCCAACATGCCCAGTGTTCTTTCTCTCATAGTTGTTTTTTCGTGTACTTTTCCTGTCTAATGTGTAGTATTCTTGTTTCATTTATACCCTGCCTTTTCTCCACAGTGTTTGCCATGATTTTTCTTCTCTCCATTTTATTCTCACAAGAACCCTGGGCTACTAGTATCACTAGGTTAAGTCACTCAGTGACTGACAGTGAGCTTCATGGCAGAGTGGGGACTAGAACCAAAGTCTTCTCATTGCTCCTTTATTAATATGATGTGCCCATTCATAGCTCGTTTGGCCTTTCTAATTATATTGGTGGCCTGGTTAACCACTTTTTTAATTAAGCATGAAGCTGATAGGCTTCAAACTAAAATATTGAATACCATTATGTGTAGTGTTGTTTTGAAAAAAATATATAAAGAGCTTTATAACTTGGATTAATTTTAACAAGCATCTTGCAGAGTGGGGGATGTAGTCCCATTTTGAGTGTTTTACAATTCATAGATCCCATGCAAATTAGCATTGCAATTTAGTTTTTTGTTTTTGATCTTACAGCACACTTCCGTTGATGGATATTCTGAGCCCCATGTCCAGCCCACAAAATCAAGTAGCAGACAGAATATACCCCGCTGCAGAAATTCAATCACATCTACTAATGAAGACCATCCTCACATTGGAAATTACCGTTTACTAAAGACGATAGGAAAAGGAAATTTTGCCAAAGTGAAGCTGGCTAGACATGTTCTTACTGGTAGAGAGGTATGCTTTTCTCTCTTTTTCACTGTAACCGTATCATATGTTGCCTTCTTGCTTAGCTATGTGCAATAAACGCTATCATCATTCAGCTATGTGATTGAATACATAACAGGCTTGTCCTTAAGCCAAATGAGACATGAAGATGGCCAGCCCATAGGCAGAATGCTCTTTATGAACATGCCTGGGCCCCATCCCTTCAGCAGGGGTCTTCTGAAAATGAGCATTTATTTATTTATTATTTATTTATTTAAAAAATTCTATGCCGCCCCATTCACCGAAGCCTCTGTGGACATGCTGCCTCTCTGTCCGCTGATCCTCTGATTGGGCTCCCTTCCTCTACTGACAATGCATCATGGAGTCAAGAGCCATGCCCAAATTGTCTGAGCCTGAGAAACACCCCTGCTCCACGGCTCCTTCCACGAACTGCCCACCTGGGGGATCTAGCCTTGAAATAAGCATCTCTCATCTCGATGTCTGGGGGTGGCCCACATTCCATGGCCCCCTCCTGGGTCTTTTCTACTAATGATTCTTCTTCTGGAGACCAGCCAGCAGCCTTTGAGAATGTGTACCCAAAGCAGCTATCATTCTCATTCCCAGCAGACATGGGCAGGAAGAGAATGAGGGAGGATTTTTTCTGCAAAACAGCTGTCTTATTTGGTAGAACTTAGAAGCAATCCCTGCCAGGAGGGGAAAAATACAAAGAGGTTTCAAGAGGAAAGAATGGACAAGAGAAGAGTTCAGTTCTCTTTCCCTACCCATTCATACTTCGTTTTAAATAGCTTTTACCCCACTACAGTATAGGAAATTAGAAGGACTCAGGTGCTGTTAATTACTTGTATAATTACAGTCTTATCGAAAGGTGAAATATATTTGTACAAGTGAAAGTAAATATACTCGGAAACACCTCATTGCTCTTATTCTAGATTTTTTCATTGCTGTTGCTGGAGTAAAAATCTGACTGCAGATTACTGACTCTACCGACATGAGAGACACCTTTAAATAGGCTTTATTGACTTGTGTGAATAGAGCGAATTGCTCAAACAATCAAGGATTGTTGTTCCATGTAAACCTCACTGGTAGAGGTTATTTGAGGATTAAACAGCCCTTTCATAACCCACAGTTGCTTAACTCTCAAATAACTATGTCAGCTGGTGGCTAGCACACACATTAGCTCCTTGTGAGTGAATTAACTCACCATGGGTTTTTGTATCTTGAGACATCATGACCGTGGATTTTTGTGTCATGTGCATATCTCTATATACAAATCTATCAGCTGTTCACTCAACCCACTTGGCCCAATGGAACCTATTTAAAGAGATGTGTCTCATACTCACAGAGACATCAAATACTCACAGAATCAGTAATTTGAAAGTTTCATTTCTGTTTGAGCTAACTATGGTTTTACATTGTGTCCAAATGCCTATGTTATTGTTGATCGTTACTATTGCATGGGTGAGGAACCTGTATTTCACAGCCAGATATGGCCCACTGCCCATTTTCCTCTGGTAGACAACATCCCACTGAATTTGGGAATATACACCCTCCCACTCCACCTTTTTCCTCAAGAGAGTATAGTCACCACTACTTAAAGATGCTGGATCTGCCTTTAGTTAAAGCAGTGCAGCCCAACAGTGCACACTCCCTTCCTTGCCTGTACTTCCCCCAAGAGATGAGGGAAGCCTTTGAAAGCATTTATCACCTAACTCTCAGCAGGCTTGATCCACACCTTCAAAACTCACCTGTTAGAATCCAGTGTGCTCATTTCAGTACGCAAGCAGAAACCAGCTGTATATTTGTTAGAAAATTTGTTGGTCAAAACTAATAGACAGTTTGTTAGGCAGCTGCTCCCTGGAGAGGAAAGATGTGACGAGAGACAGTGAGCTAATGAATGATGGAGCAGAGACCCTCTCTCTTCCTGCCAGTTGTCTTCTTCAGTCATTGCTGCTAGAAGAACCTTGGAGCACCATCTAGTAGTGGTGCCCAACACTGCTCTCAGATAAATAGCAGGGATGGGCTGGCAGGAAGAGGTACATAAAGGATCATGTGGTGGAGAGAAAGAGATGGGACAGAAGCCCAGGAGAGAGCTTTGAAGGTACAAATTGTCTGGTTGACAGCTTGCTCAGTCCACATGTTCTAAAATATCCCCTGGACTTTGGGACTATAGAAAAATCAGTTGTACCTTTGCTTATATATTCCTTATTCTGAGTTTATTTAAAGAAGCCAGCTTCATAAACCATGGTATGAGTGGTCTTATTTCCATCAATCATAGTTAAGCCTAATGACAGTTTGCAGACAGAGTATCAATAAATTGCAGTTACAAAAGAAAGCAAAAACTGCAATCTTGTGGCTTCACCAAAACTGTTAGAAGGCTTCAGCCCAAAGTGAATTTGTCTTGATGCTAAAGCATACTTGGGCTTTGCAACTGAATGGGATCACTGACATTCTAAAACACATATTACTTTTACCTTTTTTAAAAGGCAAGCTTTTAATAGAGTAATTTCTGCCATTTCCATTCTTAGGTTGCTGTGAAAATAATAGACAAAACCCAACTAAATCCCACCAGCCTACAAAAGGTATGTATATTCTGCAGTAGGAGTGTTTTGGACAATGATCTCTGCTCTTGGACAGGGATACTGCCAGTAAAATTACAGTGGCATTGGCAGACATGGAAGAATGACTGGGTGCTTATATAAATGTATTACAAGGTGTCTTTCCAGGAGCCTTCAGTGACATTTAGTTTTGATGTCCATCATCAATTGCCTTTAATTTATAGTACTATTTATAACATACTTTGAAGAAGGCATTTAACTGAAAGACTAAACAATGTCCATCTCAGAACATGGATCTGTAATAATAGATGTTTTATTATATTGGATTGTCATGAGAAGGCTCTATTTGTTTTGTTTTCTTTAGTTGTAGCCATTGCTGAAGAGCAGGGAAGTGAGCAGCTTAATTCAGGCTTAACTAAAAGAGGCATTTCTCATAATATGATTTGCATTAGTTCCCTTGTCCTGGGTGAAATTTGTTGAGGGCTGTTCAGGTGTACTGGTTGATTGTGTGGCTTATTAGCATGAGTTTGTCAGCCCTTTTTTGGAGGTGTGCCAAGCAGCAAAGAGTGGTCCGTATGTTCAGCAGGTAGATCCAGCCAGCTTTCAGCAGAGAACAGCCATCACACATACCGTTTTAAACGAACTCCAAAGTGGTCCTGTTAGTCTTGTCCAAATTCATCTTTAGTTAATCCATTCCCATGTTTTACCTTCTTTACCTACTGCAACTGCTAGACCTTCTTGGGATGATACAGGTGGGTAATTACCTTCTATAAATGAAATAAACTTTCAACTTACATAGTTCAACATTCACTGCCAATATAGTATAGGTTAGTAACCTATTTTTTTTACTTGTTTATCCAGCAAGATTCACCTAATAGATTTTGTCAGTGCTATATGTTGAAAATGAGAACATGCACCTGTGCATCTTTTCCTACAAAATATTAGTAGTCATTCTGTGCAGATTTGGAGTGACACACATTGAATTGAAGTGTGTGCTTCATGTGTTTAAAGGCTTTTGTAAGAAATAATCATTTTGCCATCCTTGAGAAATGAGGCATTGTTTAGGGCTGCCTGCTACTGTTTTCTTAATATGTGTGCTTGCTCACCAGTCTGAAAAATTGGTAATATCAACTTCCCACTGAACCTCAGGTGGCTGTGGGACTAGTTCAGATGAAAGAGATACATTTGAATTGATTGTAGTGAACACAAATCAATACAATACAGCCTTGGAATCTAAAAATTACTGATAATGGGTTAGATCCAGACTAAGTAAATCAGACTCCTTTAAAATCATTATGAAAAGTTAGTCATGGCTTAGGGAAAGTTCTATTAATTTCAGTGAGAACTTTGTGCAGCTTGGTTTAGATTCAACCCATTATCCCCGCAAGGGTATATTGCTACTGTCGAATGTGTTTGGCATCCAGTATAATATTTAATAATAATTATGTGAATTTTAAATTGTATCTTACATATTTTACTGTTACCTTTACATCTGCTAGGCTATCTGTATAAAAATCACTAAGTAGCTTAGCTTTTTTTTAACAGCTGTTCCGGGAAGTACGAATAATGAAGATATTGAACCATCCTAATATTGGTAGGAATCTGGCAGTTTTTGATGTATTGTATTTAACCCTTTTCCTGTGCTTGTATGTTTTTCAACTTACTGAAAAAGTCAATTTTTGGATTAGAGTGCATAAAAACTTTGCAAGTTTTACTAAGTTGTCCTTTTGATTTCTGAAGAACACTCATTTCTTTAAAAAAAAAAAAAAACAAACAAACCCTGCCTCACAGGCTTTTTAGCAGGTGATGCAGTATACGAACATTATAGGTAAATAAGTAAATGAGTGAGCCATAGATGCTTCTTCTAGAAAACTACTAGTTAGAGGAAAATGTAAATTCTCATTTTGGAGACCTGTGGCTTGCATGGTTCTTTTATTGCTTTCTGTAAGGCTAGTGAATCTTTGGGTTGGTTTTCCAGCATTTCACAAAGACCCGATTTAGTAGACCTTAATTATGGCCCAACAAACCTGTTTAGGAATGCCCTTTAAAAAAAATATTTCATCTTACTCAGTAATGCAGTGTTCTAGCCATTATTATCTTGAAAGCAGGAAAGTGCTGTTTTCCCCCAAAGAAAACATCACTCATAAATCCCAATCAGTGCCTGGTAGGCACAAATTTGCAAGACATGCTTAGATTCCAACTCTGAGGATAATCAAGCCCATCAATTCCCATGACTCTGCAGTTGACAAACTCTTGGCACCTGGCTAGTCTCATCTGCCATGTCCAAAACTGGTTTATAATCTGTGTTTACACTCCCTGTTGACTTTGTGACCAGTTCTTTGTGCTGATCATCAAGACCAGTCCCTGCATTCACAAAGGTTCTCATAATGCAAACTTCCATAATCAAGCTTATAATTGTGAGGTGGTATAGCATAGTGGCTAAGAATGAGCAATGCATCCGGAAGTGCTTGGTTCGAATGTCACCTCTGCTATGAACTATGTAGCTTTAGGCAAATCACTCTGTTTTAGCCTTAGCCCCCAGTCCAACCCCCTGCCCCACTCTGCAAAATGGGTAACATTACTATGAACTTAAATCATTTGATTTCTGCAAATTTTACAAGAAGATTATGCATGTGAAGCACTTTGAACCCTTGAAAGTGCTATGCAGACACTATTATTATTACTCCAGTAAAATGTGATACTGATGTATCAAAATGGCTTTTAAGGTGGATTTTAATTAAATCAATACCACTCAGTTGTGGGAAAATTGAGACCTATGAATGAGAACAGGATTACAAAGTGTGTAACTTTCCCTTTCTGCTTTAGTTTCCCCTACCTTTAGAATCCTACTTTGTGATGACAATTCTTCTGGCTGAGGAAGGCAGAACAATTTTGTTCCAGAGACAGTTATTGTTCCTGAATCGGCCAGAGGGCTTGTTGCATACAAGGTACACACATTGTTGCTATAGGGTATGCCCTTTTGACTACTCCTCCTAGCTGAGCATGCTGCTTTTTCAACATACTTAGCACTTGTAGGCTTATTTTTAAACTTTGCAATGATGATAATCATTTTGTTAACATATTTGATGAGCAATGTCCTTCTGGTTCTTAATAGTTCTGCTGTCTCCCTTGACATTCAAACTTTGTCTTCAGTGGAATCAAAATATGTACCATTTTAATTTGGTCTAGTTGAAGCAGAGCAGTGGGTGGTTTTACTTTTAAGAATTTAATCCATAGAGCAAAATCGTGACTTCAGCATGGATTTCTTTTTTCTTTGTATCATGGTTAAGATGTGTTAACTTAAATACATTTAGCTCTGTTTTCAAATTTTCTTTACTGCTTAAGTGAATGTATTTTATTGTCATTCTTTTATCTTGCAGTTAAGTTATTTGAAGTTATTGAAACAGAAAAAACATTATATTTAGTAATGGAATATGCCAGTGGGGGTAAGTAACTGTTCAGTTATGCTTCTAAAGATTAGTTTGAAATGTAAGAGTTTGAAGGTAGGGGTGCAGCTGGCATCGGCCCTGAAAATTGTGTTATGTCCTTGGCTATTTACGACATGATACACTGCTCCGTGGAATCCAGACTGGGGGACATTGTTCTCTCGGGCTCACTTTATGGCTGTGTCTTTTAAAAGCTGGATAATAAGTCTGCAACCCAGTTTTCACCTACAGATGAGTTGGTAGAGCACTTGTTTGCATGCAGAAGTCCCCAGGTTCAATCCTCTGTCTGACATCTCAAGATAGGGCTTGAAAAGACTCCTGCCTGAAAGTCTGGAAAGCTGCTGCCAGTTAGTGTCAACAGTACTAGGCTAAATGGACCAAGGGTATGACTCAGTATAAAGTATTTATTTTTATTTATTATTTATTAAAACATTTTTATGCCGCCCCATTCGCCGAAGCCTCGGGGCGGCTTACAACATAGCTTTCTATATTCTTCTGTCTGGACTGTACCCTTTCATGCTGCAACTGGGAACTCACGGTTTAATGCTCCCCACAAAAGGCAACCCTACAAAAGGAAAGCTACTGTGTTCTACCATAGTCTTCTCTCGGTCATATTTCACTTTGTGAGCTCCTGTCCACAGTCTGAAACAAGTACAGTCTAAACACAAATTTACTACTACTACTTCTGTTTGTGTAGTAGCATACATTCACTTGGTAACTCAGTTCAGTGGTATTTCCACTCACATTATTAAGTTTCATTGGTTTGATGTAAAGGTTGCTAATAGAAAAGAAACTCTGATATAGGGAGCCCATGTTAAAAAGAAAAACTTAAACATGGGTAAACTCCTACTGTGGTAGCAGTTATGCAAATGTTGGTGCTGAGAGAAGAAGGTTTTTCTAATACATTGAATGAGGAAGTGACCTGCACATAGATGACTGAATTTCTCAATTGATCAGGAGTTGGAGGAAATGATGCTGATTCCATAAGGAAGAGGGTCCTCCCAAACTGTGAATGGAACAGGTCACACTTATAAATAACCACTTGCCTGGTCACATGTCGTGAATAACAGTTAGGATACCAGGCAGGAAAAAAGAATGTTCTTTTTTCTTTCGTTCAGACTGACACACGTCTTTGTGGGTGGGCAAACTAGCTAACGTATTTTGTAAACTGCTCACTTTTGGATTATTTTGCAAAACTAGGACAGATAGTCCTATAGAAATTCATGTATTGTCTGTTAGGGAAGAGCAGCATAATAAGATTAAGGACCACTTTACTCAATAATCAGGTCACTCAAAGTTGCAAACTGATTTACAGTGTAATCCTACACTGGTCTACACAAAAGTTGGTACTATTGAGTTGAATGAAACCTACTGCTTGCTAAGTGTGCATAAGATTGCAGCCTTCTTCTCCTGCTTCTTGATTTAAAAACAACAACAACCCTGCATGACTTACCTTACTTTCCAACAAATGTGTAATCCAACTATTTGCTCCAATAAAGTAGGACAAGTAGAGCCATTAGGCACAAATCCTTGAGATAGTGAGACACCTGAGAATTCACTGGTGGATTTTGGTGATAGAATGAGTTGATATAAAAAGGAAAAATACTAAATACAAAGAATCCAATATATTTTAAATGTAGTTTCTTTGTTAAATAAGTGTACGTGTTAATAGCATTAAATTAATACCAGTCATTGCTAGTTAATTCTGTACAATATCATATTCTATTTTGCTTCAGGGGAAGTGTTTGACTACTTGGTTGCCCATGGAAGAATGAAAGAGAAAGAAGCACGTGCAAAATTTAGACAGGTATAAAACAAGTGTTATAACAGCCATGGGGGCCATGACAGCCATGGGGCTGTCTCAACATGACACTGGCCCAATGCATGTAAAAGGTGCACTCTGGACCTGGTTTTCTTGACAGGGCAGGAGGACGGTGATCTGGAAGTGAGGGGTTTGACTTTAACCCCTTTGTCATGGTCAGATCACTTCCTTGTGATCTGAAGGGTGCGGACCCTATTAAGATGGTCCGCCCCTGGAGTCTTATGGATTGTGATGGTTTCCTGAGGGATCTGGGGTATTTTCCAGTTAATTGAGCAGGTGGAAAGAGGGCATCGTGGACCCAGAAATAGCCGCCAATTATACGTCAGTGGCTAATATTCCATTCTTGGGCAAGGTGCTCAAGCAAGTGGTGGCCGGACATGTCCAAGTGCTCTTGGAGGAAACTGACCCATTTCAATCTGGTTTCAGGCCTGGGTATGGAACAGCCTTCTGGATAGGCTGGCTGGGTTGTGAGTTGGAGGCAGTGTTCTGTGGTGGTTCCAATCCTATCTGACTGGCTGATTCCAGAAGGTGGTGCTGGGAGATTATGTCTCTGTGTCGTGGCAGCTTTGCCATGGAGTTCCTCAGGGTTCCATTTTATCCCCCATGGTCTTTCGACATGAAACTGCTGGGAGAGGTCCTCCAAGGTTTTGGGCTGTGGAGTCTGCAGTAAGCGGATGACACCCAGCACTGCCTCTCTTTTACATCTAGTCCAGGTGAGGCAGCGTTGGTCTTAATCGGTGTCTGGCCAGGGTAATGGGTTGGATGAGGGTCAATAAATTGAGGCTTAATCCAGACAAGATGGAGGTCCTGTTGGTAGTTGGTTTGGCCTTCCAGGTGAGTGATTTTTGCCCTGTTCTGGACAGGGTTGCAATTCCCCTAAATGACAGGGTATGCAGCCTGGGAGTGCTTCTCGACCCTGACCTGTCCCTGGAGTACCATGTGTTGGCAGTGGTGAGAAGTGCTTTTCTTCAGCTTCAGCTGATACTTAGCTGTGCCCTTACGTGGATGTGCAGTGCCTGACAGTGGTGACCCACGCTCTGGTAACTTCCCATTTGGACTATTGCAATATGCTCTACATGGGGCTGCCCTTTCCATTGATCTGGATACTTCAGTTGGTCCAGAATAGAGCTGCCAGGTTATTAACAGGGACTGGCAGATACTCCCATATCACGCTGGTCCTATACCTGGTTGTCAATTGAAGTCCGGGCCCGATTTAAGGTGCTGGTAATGACCTATAAAGCCCAAATCAGCTTGGTTCCTGGATACCGGAAAGAGCACCTTCTTCCCTATGTGCCTGCCCACCCTTGAGATCTAGCGTAGAGGTCCTTCTCCGGAATCCCTCTTTGAAGGCAGTTAGGAGGGTAGCTACCTGGAGAAGGTCCTTTTCTGCAGTGGCACCCAGACTTTGGAACATGCTCCCCAGAGAGGTTCACCTGGCACTGTCACTTTATTCTTTTTGGCAGGTGAAAACCTTTTTATTTTCCCAACATTTTAATATTTAATTCATTTTATCTTTGATTTTATCATTAATGGTCAGATGCCATGTGTTATTCGTTGGTATGTTGTTTTTTGGGTTTTTTTGTAAGCCATCCAGAGACTCTGGTATCAGATGGCATAAGAAAGAAAATTTTACAACCACATGGTAAATTGCTTGCCTGCTGCTAAGGTTGCAGGTACCATGCATCATTGAGATCAGAGGTGGACAGAAGAAAGATCCCTCTTTTGGACTTCAACTCCCAGAAGCTCCTACTAGCATGACCAGTGGTCATGAATGCTTTTGGTAGAAGTCCAAAATGTCTAGGGTTTGGTCTAAATAGTTTGGTAGAAAGAACTTGGGTGGAATTCAAGGTACCAGTGACTTGGGTAAACATAGCTCTGAGGTTTTAGAAGCCTAATTTAGGTTGTTTAGGTCTGAGCTTAGGTCTGAAAGTCTGAACTTTCAAGGTAATTTCTCTGAAATGCTTACCTCCTCTATGTGCAGAACAAACTTGACACAAAAAGTTGAGATGTCTCAATGCATGGATGATAACAGTGATGTACAGAGGCATCAGTTTGGATTTGTTAGGCACTTGTGAATGTTTTGGAAAAAGTTGGATTTGTGTAAAAAGGATGAGTTGTACTAAAACCAAAATAAAATGAAGGATAGTTTTGATAGCTATATATTACTCCCAGTATTGGAAGCAGTATTCTTCTATTGCAACTGCTAGAGAACATGAGGTAGGATACTGTTGCACTCATGTCCAATAGTTGGATTTCCCACTGGCAGCTGGTTGGCATCTCTATGAACAGAGTGCAGTACTAGATAGACCTTTGGTCTGATTTAGCATGCAGTTTAGTTTTGCTACAGCTTCTTGTGGTGTTCAAACCAACAAGATATCATTAATGTTAACTAGGATTTACTGGAATTTACCCAACCAAAAAATAGAGTTTCAAATGTGGCATTTGAAAATGACCATTAGGTGGTCATAGATAAGTCATTATTTCTCTCCTCTTCTGCTATAAGGAAATGAATTGTTGTAATGGTTACTACAAGGTAATATATGCAAATATGAGTGCTATATGGAAGGATAAACACGCTAATGTATTGTCAGGGTAATTTTTTGTGTTTCTTTATTGATAATGACGGTTTTATTTCAGATTGTGTCTGCTGTGCAATACTGTCATCAGAAATACATTGTCCATCGTGATCTCAAGGTAGGTTAATTTCCTTTCTTTTAAAAATTGGAACTGTGATGGAAAAGAACAATTTATTAATCGTTTCAAAAACCTCTTACTGCTACATTTTACATTTTCCTATCTGTTCTTTCACACCTGCTGGAGATAATGATGTGCAGCACATGCTTCTGAACAGGACAGGGGGTTATAAATGTTTGTAGGGTTTTCTCTGATTCTTAGATGATCTTCCTTGTTGATTGTATCATGGTTACATAAGCACTCAGTGGGGGTCCCCTTTTTGTTCATATCGAACTTTGAGCTCCATGCCCCTTTCTTCTGTTGTGCCATTAATACTTTATAAAAGGCCCCCATCCATGGACTAACCTCCCCACTGTGGTCCCGCTGGCAACTAATCTGTGATCTTTTTGACACCAGCTTAAGATGGCCTTTTTTTATTCCTGCTTTTAACTTCTTACTTGGCCACCCGAAGGCTTGAGAGGGTCACCAGGCATTTTGCAGAGTGTCTCTTTCTCTCCCCACACTTTTCCTCCCTCTCCCCTTGTTATTCCTTATTAGCATCTGCTTTACCTGTTTAAAACATTTTAATTTTTCCTGATTTTATAATATTTTAAATTCTACTTTCATAATACCTTTTTGGACTGTGTAAACTGCCCAGAGAGCTTTGACTGTGTGTTGGTATAAAAATGCAATTAATTAATTAAAATCTATCAGGGTCTCTTTGCTGCTATATCTGAAATTATTTTTCCAGAATTAATGGGTGAAACCCTTTCACACCTCATGTAAGTCATCTTTAGTATTTAGTGTGAATCTTTGGGATTGTTCAGTTACTTCTTTTCCTAAGCTGCAGCAATCCTTCAGCCTCATGTTCCTCTCTCATGCACATGATTTCCCTCCACTTTTATTTGTTAGTGTTACATCTGTTGCTCACCATGGTTAGCTCAAGCTGCAGTTTGCAAACCTGTTCCTAATAATAATTGTGTATTGTGATTTGAAGCTCTGAAAGGAAAATGCTGTTGTTGGCCATGTCTTTTGTCCAACTTGTGTCCAGCTTTTTCTGTACCTGAAGGAAACATTCTGTTCTGGCCTTTCTTATTTCTCCTAATAATATGATATAACACCTGCCTTCTGGGCCCTCTGTGTTGCTATCTTGCTCCATTTAAGTTGATTCTAAAAAAGTCATTTGCCCTTCCATCAAAGTAAGTCTTAAGCTTCTGTGTCCTGCACAACATCTGCTTCAGATTCTTAGCTGTCTCACTCATAATGTCTGATTCTGAGCACATCCACATGATTCCTTTGAGATAAAAGTCACTATGCAATATCTAGTGCCAAAGTACTCAGAAGGATTGAGAAACTCTGAAATTCACTGAAAGAGTACAAAGGCAGGCAAAAAGACCATCGAAGTGCACATTTTTAAAGCTAAAAGAAACAAACCTTTGAAATGGACATTATCTTGTGGTGTAATTGTTAAATATGATGCATGAAATCCAATTCAGTTTCATGTTTTAGTTTTTCTGGAGTTGACTGAAGAAGGGACATATAGTAGAATCAATCCCCCCCCCCCAATCCCCAGCTTTCTTTTTCATACAGTAATCAGTCAGTAATTATCTAATTCTATGCAAGTTTAAACTGAAAAAAGGCCTACAACTCCCAGTATGCTCCAGCCAGCTATTCAAATTGTAGGCCTTTTTTCTGAGTAAACATGCACAGAATTACACCCTAATTGTGTGTTTGTGTCTGTGCTCTTTTAATTCCTAAGCAGAGCAAGTCATTAATTTTATTTGTATTTAGAGTTCCATTCGACTGTTTCTCAAGGTTGCAGGGACAGCAGTTTTCAAAAACAAAAGGGAGATATCTGTTAAGCTGTTAAGACTGGTATTTTACACAAACCTTATTTGATGTTAATGGATATAAGGTTGTACTCTCATGGACAGAGGAAGAGAAAATACTACAAATCTAAGCAAATCTTACAAAGAAATCTTCAAGTCCTCACCTTACTATGGATCATGGGCGTGCTGAGTGTTGCTTCTTGCATTCCACAGCAAAGTATGTCACCCTTAAAATGAATAGTTTGTTTCAGAATAAATTTATGGTAAACTGTTTCTATTTATCTTCAATATTCTTCTCCCCACCCCACCTTTCAGGCAGAAAACCTTCTTCTTGATGGCGACATGAACATTAAAATTGCAGATTTTGGTTTTAGCAATGAATTTACTATTGGCAACAAACTGGACACTTTTTGTGGAAGCCCTCCATATGCTGCCCCTGAACTTTTTCAAGGAAAGAAATATGATGGCCCAGAAGTGGATGTATGGAGTCTTGGAGTTATTCTTTACACTCTAGTCAGTGGATCTTTGCCATTTGATGGGCAAAATTTAAAGGTAACATTGATATTTGAAACTTCAAAGTCTAATCTTCCATTATTGTGTCTCAATGTTAGATTTTTTTTGTTTTGTCTTTTCTAAAGGAACTGAGAGAGCGGGTATTACGGGGAAAGTACCGGATACCATTCTATATGTCCACAGATTGTGAAAATCTACTGAAAAAGCTGCTTGTATTGAATCCAATCAAGCGAGGGAGCTTGGAAGTAAGTTGATATTTTTTATTTAATTATTTAAAACACACAAGGAATAACCTGAACCTCAGTCTTAAATGTGCTACTAAGAACTGCCTAACTTATTTTTCTTTAATTCCCCCTTTTCTTGCTCAAAAAGACCAGTGTGGTGGAGTGATGGTTTGAGATTCAGGAGATCAGGGTTTTAGGACGATCCTGCAAGCAACTTTGGGTTCTGTGCCAGAGGGAAAAAGACAGGATATCAGTGTAACAATAAAAACACGTATTGTTTCGTTGTTCATCATTGTTTTTCAAAATTCAAAACTTTCCTGTGGGACATATCTTTCTTTAAGGAAGCAGTTTGTACAATAATGTAAAAATAATTTCCAATTGGTTTACACCATCATGTAAAATTATTACATGATAAGCCAGCCATTTTGCAACTGAGTGAATGCATCTCGGGAAATGGTGATAATGGGAATTTTGTAACATGGAAAGCAGATTTTTCAAGTGAGGCTTAATGATTTCAAGAGTCGTTCTGGGTAATGATAGGGTTTCAGTGTTTTCAGGTCCTTGCTAGATTAATGTTTTAAAACATATCAATTTTGGAAGTGTTATTCAAAAGTGTACCTTCTTAAAGTTTTTTTTAAAGGGCTGTTCATTGTAATACAATAACTTAAGCTGTGTGTCTCTGGCACCATCTTAGTGGTAGGCACCATTACATATGATGCTATTTATGCAGATTTTGATGAGTTGATTCATTAAACAAATTCCTACAATTGCTCAATTAAGGTTTCTTCAATCTGGTGGCAGCCCCAGTAAATGAGTTTAAGAATGGGATTTACATGATGTAACTTGATACTAATCTGAAGAAACAAACCGCAGACAATTAAACAAGTCTTAAAATTTGGAGCAAAGCAAGAAGAACAAAGATCATGTTGAATAGCATAAAATGTAAAACCCTCTCCCCCCTGCATGTAGCCTGATTTGCACCATCTCATTTAATTACCTTTTCACTATGTTTTTTAGAACAGTCAGGGAACAGCAGTAACCATGGCAGTAGTGCTGCAGTGAAGATTCCCAGAATTCGTCCCTCTTCTGTTCGCAGGCATCCCCTCATGCTCAGCCCTGCTTTAGAGCTGAGCCAAGAAGTCCATCTATGCAACCAGTGACCTTCTTTCATGTCACATGCAGCACAAACAAAGACTGGAAGTCACGTGTGCAGAAGAGGGACACTGCGTGCACACTGTTTGTACAGGCTTGATTCCTGCTAGACATCTGCTTAGGTGCTTGCCAGGAAGTTGGACTCACAGCTGCAAGAAGGCAGGCCCGAGTCTGGGTAGCCAACCCCAGGGAATCCAGCAGATTCCCACCCTCCAAATGGATTCCACACACATTCCTACACAGCAGTCCATGCTTTGGAGAGGAGATGCCTCCCTTTCTAGGGTAGCAGGAGAGTCCAGGAGGTGTTGAAATGGTGTAGGGCTCTGAGAACTCTCAGTTCAGCACTGGAAATGGGGAGGGTTACTTTGCTAGGGGGGAGATTTTGTCACCATCCCCTTTTTGATGCACTTACATTTTTCCCCTTATTGGTGATGTTTGACCAACAACTTAGTGAAATAGCTTATATGCAATCTTGCCCTGTCAATTTCCATCTACCTTACCAACTTCCTTTAGTTTCTTTTGACAGCCAAAACTTACAAGAACATTGAACAGGCAAGACCACATATGTTGGATGCTGTAAGTGCATACTGGGACACCTCCAAGAAAAGAAAAAATAAAGTAAAATTATGAAGGCATTTGTACATACTTCTGGGGCTAATAGCATTTTTTAGAAAGTGGGGAAGCAATGTCTTTCTCTGCAAAGTGCCACTTCGGCATCAGTGCAGACACTGACAGCAGCGGCAGCACGGGTGAGAGCATGATTAGTGGGCAGGGGGAGCTTCTGTTCTTATCAAATGGCTCACTAGCTGCTTACTGGAACCCACAATGCTTTAGACAGCATGATGACCAGACATGAGATAAACAACTGCTAGAGAAAGCCAAGGGTTTTCAGGGGGATATGCTGCTCCAGAATGTACTACCCTGTACAGGATGGTCTAGGTTTGGGTGACAGGACAACCCACTGTGGCTAGTTATCCATCCTGGTTTTCCATGTCGTGTAAACCTGACTGTCATGTTGTATAGTTTCTGAACATTTCTCTCATTTTTAGTGGGAGCTTATCACACTTGTTATAAATATTTTGCATTAGAACACTTGCCCATTTAAATGAAATTTAGCATTAGTTTAGTGTATGGTTTAAGAAAGGTGAACTGTGGTTCTTAAAAACTAATGTGTTTTAGTTGCTTTAATTTGTAAGACATGCGTTTTTAAGTAAGCCATTTTCATATGCAATCTATTTGGCGTAGTAGCTCTTGAGTTTCTTTTCACTAAAATGTTTATGTAGCAGTTCTAGCAAAGTGAAGCACTTAGTCATCTTAGTCTCTGGACTTTGTGTCTAAGAGCAATTTACTGCTTGTTAATACCCAATAAAGTACAACAGGTGATAAAATGATTTGAGAAATACAACGTGTATTAGTCATCAGTGTGACCTTTCTTTTATCTTGATAGGTTTGCATTTGCAGCTGGAGATGGTGTTCCACCGAATCAATCTCATTTAGTCACTTTCTGACATAGATAACTTGAGCACTAGCTGGGAAATAGTTCCCTGATCAGCTGTGAATGTGGGCTGAATAATTCTCTTGTCTGGTTGCTTGCCAGTAGATTGTGTGGTATGCATAGTTTCTGCTTCAGTGATGTGTAGCAGTCATTGTTAGGGTCCTGTCTAAAAAATTGAGTGAGATCATGAGAGGTCGAGTTAAGGATGTTCATATTCACATAAAGTTTGAGATGCATGAGTCTAAAGGACACTGCTGCCTAATAAGTTAATGCTTTTGTGCAGGCCTCTGCTGTTCAGCTGTATTTTCTAACTGCATAGCACAACAGAGACATCAGTAATGGGAAAATCATGAAGCGTGCTGAGACTGTCAGACTTGCTTGTAGCCCTTGTGGTAGTAAAGATGGACTTGAATTTTGTGAGCAATGCTTGGTGAGATCTCAGATGCTGGAGAGGGAGAATGAACAGCAATCAAGTAGCAGAGTTTCAGTAACCTGCGTGCCTCTTTCTATGAAGAGTGTAATGCAAAGTGCACCTTTTAATTTTCATTCATTCCTGAAGCGCCTAGATGTCTGTAGGCTCTATTCACAGATTAAAAGCAAGACATACTCTGCTTGAAAGCTTATAACCATTAAAAGATTAAAAGCCATGACACAAAAGGAAAAATGGATGGAGGGGAGGAGAACAGGCAAATTCAGGCATCATTTCTTAAACTTGCATAATTGTTCTTTAATAACCTGCTGGAATGGAGGTGGTTCAGGTCTGCCAGCCAGGCTGTTGAGTAGTATTTATTTCCTTCTGCTACAGCCAGGTGGAACGTATTATATAATTATCTTCTTTAATTTGCATAATGTTGCAAAATCCAGCTTTGTACAGTTTTGTTGGGGCACAACTAGACCAGTTGGAGGTATCCGCAACCTTTTGGACCTGTGGGCACATTTGGAAATGTGAGAATCTGTTAAGGGCCCTCCTGCAAAATGTTTCCTATAGAGCATGTGGCTATGTACATAATGGCAGCCATGAAGGCCTGGCAAATCAGAAAGGGAGAGGGGAAGGGAAATAGATTAGAGGTTGGGGTGGGAAAAGTAGGGGAAAGGGATAGAGAGATAAGAAAGAGAGGAGCTAGAACAGCAAGGCTAGAGGCTGGGAGCCCAGAGAAACAGCATGATAAAGAGATTAATGAGAGGGGAAAACAAGGCTCGAGGCTAGCAGTAGAGAGGAGGAAGACTAGGATGGGAAAGAGAGCAAAATAGCAAGGAAAGGGATTGAAAGGAAAGAAATAACAACGTTATGCTTTATGTGCGTGAAAGGTAAGTTTTTGTATATAGGCGTTTCTTACATATTAATTGACACACACACACACACACACACACACACACACGCATATAGAAATCACTTCTGTGGGTGCCAGCAGGCAGCATTGGAAGGCCCTGCTGGTGCCATGGCGAGAACCCCTGAGCTACTCCATAGCTATAGAAAAGAGACTGTACCAGTTTTCCTCTGCAATACTGGGCCCTTGTCTATTGGAATGAGGGACAATGCAAACTCAGTTTTCAATAATGGTGAATAGTAATATATATTGGATAGTTGGGTCAGTATTCACTGGGGTACTGCACCCTCACCAGTTCTGTTGCGCAGCTGAGTCCCACCACTTGCACTGCAGAATTTCACATTTTCAGGAGCAGCTGAATATATATGGAAATGCTAGTTTTTGGAATGGGAAAAGCCAGCAGTGCTTGCATAATAGAGCTCTACCAACCTGTCCCAAGCCAGAAACAAGTATTTCCACTCATTTTGGGGTCTTTCAGAAGTTGTTGGTCCTGCTTGCCTAATGGAATCAGTGGGAGGGGGCACTTAAGCAGTGGAGAGTCCTGTTGGACTAAATGATTTGAAAAATTGATGCATTGAACTGATTGTTTTGTCTAACCTTCCTGAGTCACATTGGCAGCTGTTATGTAAAATAGCACAAGAATGTTACATTTCATTTCCTATCTGGAAGTTTTTTTGGTGGTTATTACAAGCTTTTATTTGTGTTTTAATTTTTGCACATGTTGCACGATTTTGTATGTCATGGCTGTTTCAATACTGTTATATTATCTAGCAAATAATGAAGGACCGATGGATGAATGTTGGTCACGAAGAGGAAGAATTAAAGCCATACACTGAACCTGAACCAGATTTTAATGACACCAAAAGAATAGGTAGGGCAGTTTACATAGTTATCCTGGTCTTCCAGAGATCTTCTTCCTATATCTGTTATATACCTTATTATATAGTATGACATAATACTTAATTTCAATATATTACCAGTTTATTGAGTTGCTATATGACTTGGTTTCTATGTACCAAATTTTTCTTCTATTGCTAAATTCCCATGATAGCATTTCCTGAACTCTCTTAGCCCCATTTTACTAGTTCTTCCACTGCCACTGGACTGTATTCCCCATTTCACTCATAATAATCCAGTTCACCCACAGTGTTTCAGTCTTCCAGAACATGATTTGCAAGATCAGGAATGTTTAATGGCTTCAGTTTCTCTCTTCTCTTGCCCATACTAGGAAATAATGGTTTGCATTTTAACTCCTACTCAGAATTGAAAAATACCGTTTAAAGACAGCTTTCAGTCAAATTTAAAGGGAAAGTATAAAACATGCCTGGGGTTTGATGTAATGAGAAGCAATACTTTGCAAGAAACTGGTAACCCATTTATACTCAGCCCATGAACTCTGTGTACTTTCTCTGCTCTCCAGACCATGCTTTGTTTGGAGGACTGAAATGATACACAACCCAGCCTATTGTCAGTCTTGTCTTCCATCTTCTTTCCTGTTTCATATAGATCTTTAATTTTGCATAGTGCCCTTGTTGACTCTGCATAAATATTACTATTGAATAAATATTAAATGAATACTAAGTACAAGAAAGGAAAATAGAAAATGTTATGAGACTGGGCAATCAGATGGAATTGTTTTAGGAAAGAAGTATAAAAGTGTGTATTAAATCCCAATTTATCCCACTTGTGGATCTTTTTTTTTTTTTTTTTTTTTTTTTTTGCAAAAGCCACCTGGGGAACCAAGTCTGGAATAGAAAATGTTACGTAATTACTTCAGAGAGAATCCTCTAAATAGTGCTATTGTGGATGAAAACAATGAAATAGAAGGTGTTGGATAATCACACCGTATTAGCTGGCATGCTTTAGATTTATCTTGTCAATAATTGAGTTGCATTATTTTTTATAGATATAATGGTCACTATGGGTTTTGCAAGAGAAGAAATTCATGACTCTCTGGTAAACCAAAAGTATGACGAAGTAATGGCTACTTACCTGCTTCTAGGCAGAAAACCACCTGAGGTAACTTACCAATGTTTATTTTTATCTGTTAGCAATAGGGTTGTTTCTTCCTTCAAATCTGCAGTGGTAGACTATCATAATAGTGTATAGAGTTTATTGGTGAACAAATATATTCTTGGATGTTAGGTGCATGAGTTTAATGCATCAGCAAAGATTTATGGTTTTGCCTGCATTGATTCATAAGTGGATAAGAATTGGTTTACACATGCAGCAGAACGTGGTGGTGATGTCTAGAGGCAAATTGGTGAACTGTACCACTTCAAATTGCAGGGAGGCCAAGGAAGGACCTTTTTTAAAACTCTGCCATGCCAGTCCAATGCCAGAACAGGTATACTGGGGCAAGTGCCTGGGCCCAGCAAGGCTCCTTGCTGAGTGGCAGCAACTAATGGGGGTGGTACTGATCAGAGCATTGGGCCATGCGCCCAGATTCATGGCCCCACCTCAACATGTGTACTGGCAGTAGAGCAGACAGAACTACAGTGGAGGGTTTCATCCATCCCATGTGAGAAGCTCCCTGCCAGAAGAAGATTGGAATGTGGGGGCGAGAGATTCTTATCTACTCCTGTGTGCTGCTGATTCTCAACTTTTAGGGAGTTCCTGTAAATTGGAGAATTTTAACAAAGGATATTTGTCACACCCCTCTGAAGGGGTACCATCCATTCTACCATTTCATTCCCACTTTATTTTTTCTGCTTTGTGGGTAGTTCCAGCATTAGTTCACATGAAACCATCTTTCTGTCTCTGCAGCTGGTCATCTGGTCATTTGTTTGCTGTATTCAAAAGAAGCAGAAGAAATTAAAGGGATTATGTGCTATTAGCAGTGCCCTAGAAAAATACTGTCATGCTATCAAGTATTTGTAGCCATAGTATATAGGAAAAAGTTAAAAACCATCTAGTCAACATTTACATGGCATGCACGGGGCTGGCTTAGTGCATCAACTGAAATGTAATGGAATCTTTTTGTAGATTTTGAACAGCTTTAGATTGTGCTCTAAGAACCTTTTGAAAACAAGACTACGGATCCTGCTTGAATGCTGGGCATTGATACCAAACTAACAGACTCCTGCTTTATTAAAAAAAAATCTTCAGCAGTGAAAGGCTACTTAAATAAGTGTATCAACTGCAGGATTGGAGATACGAATCATTTTAGACCCTGTGGAAATAGGTGCTCATCTTAGGACAAGAAACGTTTTTGTTTCTAACTCTTCCCTCTGTGTGGGCTGAGAAACAGAAGGGAAGTGTGTTTTCCCTCTCAAGCTGTCAGTCCCTGGGAACAAGCTGGCAGAGATCTGCAAGGAGGGGCAACTGATGCAAAGCTTTGCCTCACCATTGTTAGCTCATTCTGGGACTGTTTATATTTGTATGTTACCCAGCAGAAGTGAGAATGGACACTTTTATATACTTCGTCCACTTATCATGTAGTCTGGTAAAATACAGTTCCATCATCCTTTCACTTGATGGGAGGGGTGGTTGGTTTGTTTCTTTATTTAATATCAGCCTCTGAGGATGTTGGAACAATGACTGGAGGCTGCTTAACCCTTTCACAGCCAGGCATACTACTACTACCCACATGGGAAAAATATGGAGCCTCTTGTATCTTAGAGCAAGCTCGTCCTCCCATTGCTCTTCTGCTGCCAGTGGCAGGCTTTGAGGCTGCTTTTCAGAGTTTTAAGGAGAAACATCCCAAAGGTAACTACAGAGCCTGGTACAGTTGCAAGGCAGTAAAAGTTACCTTAAGGTTTAATACAGTCCATTGTGACATTAAAAGTGCTCCCCAAGAACATTCTTCCCAAACAGGGGTTTGTTTAAACATAAGGAATGATTGCCAGTGTTTTAATCCAAGAAAAGAACTGACTTTCTAAAAGCTGTTACTTACTCTTGTAGTTTGAGGGAAGCGAATCTCTGTCCAGTAGTAACCTGAGTCAAAGATCTCGACCCAGCAGTGACCTCAACAACAGTTCTATGCAATCTCCTGCTCACTTGAAGGTCCAGAGGAGTATATCGGCCAATCAGAAACAACGGCGGTTCAGTGAACATGGTGGGGATGGCATTCAACCAAGTAAAGTAGCAAAATACAATTTTAAGCTGTGTGCCATGTTTTCTGGGCTTGGCAGTGCCACCACTCTGTGCATTAGTTGTGTGCCGCCTCATATCGCATCGTGATGCTTTTATCATGTGAGCCTTCTGTGGTAAATATAGTTTAGGTTAGTTGACGGATGTGTCAATTTTCATTTGCATTTCTCCTGGTGTCTGTAGCTATTTTAATTGTCTGAATAATGAAAACTGTACTTTCATTTTTGTCGTCATTGTTTTGAATATCAAATTTGAATTAGCATATCTGCAGAAGAGTAATTTTTCAAGGAAAAGCCAGTAAAGGATAGGGCTGGATTTGTTTCTATAGAGAAAACAGTTGTGTGCTCAAACAGCAGTGCAAGCCATTGGCCACAGCGCTGTAGACTGGATCCCTCTGTATCACTGAGGCTTTCCTGATATTTATGGAAAGCAACTCCTCAATCTGATCCAAGGGTAGAAAACCTAGTTCCTTCCTGATGTTTTGGATTGCAAGTTCCATGTCCATGACTGTTGCCAGTGCTGCCTGAGGCTTATGGGAAGTGTCTCCAAAGAGCCTGGAGGTCATGTTAGGTGGCTCTCTGCAGCCCTGCTCATTTGGAACATGGCCTTTCTGTAATGGAGAGGACTGCTTGCTGCTGATCTGCAAGGCTGTGGATTCCTGCTGCAGTCAGCAGCACAGGAGGAAAGGTTTCCTGATTAGATTTGTATTGGAGATAAATGCCCCAGTCTAGAGACCTATGCAATGACATCAAAAGCCAGAAACTCCTCCTAGGGGTTAGGAAAAAAACAGAAAACCCTTCTCTTTCCCCAAAGCCCTCAATAGATGATCGGGACAGCAAGGAGCTTCTTAGTGAAACCTGATGGGTTTTTCAGAGCATATGTGTGGTGGTGGTGGTGGTGAGAAGGGGGGATGTAATTGAATTGAGTCCAAGTGTTCCCTGCTTTCTCCCTGTCCAGCAGCTAGGGACTTAGTCAGAAATGCTATAATGAGAGCATACTGGGGTCGGTGGAGAGGTGAGGGGTGGGGGAATGATGCAGAACAGACACAAACCACATTCAAGTTGTTTAATATATTTAAAATGATTGCACCAGAATTAAGTGCAAGCCGTGGGTTATTTGAGAGTTGTTTCATCCTCAGAAAAGCCATGCTACTCCAGTTCAGACAACACAGCAAGCTGCACCCAGGTGGGGTACTTTAGGGAAATGCCTGCCAGCACACACCACCAATTAAGACAGTTTGATCTGATTCTAAAAATGGATCAATATATTTCATAGAACTGCTGTTGATTTGTAATGATTTTATATTGCTCTGACATTTTCATCAGAAAATGATTAGTCGTAATTGAGACTTGCTTAAACTGTGAATCCACAAATGGGGTGGCAACCAACTGAATCACTGGGGAATTATGTATTGAAGCCAGTCTAGTATTTATTTATTTTACCCCAGTATCCCTGAGGTATGCCTTTGATTACACTAACTTTGAATGGTACATTAACAGATTAATAAGGAGCACATAGTAGATACTAAGTTAATGCTGCATAAGATTATGCAACCAAGGCTCTGATGACTCATTTGTTTTCAGGTAACTTCTGTGCATGCTCTCTCTCTGTCTCTCTTTCTCCCTCTGTCTCTTCTTTCTCTGATAGGGTAGCATCAGTGTCTTATTTGTTCTTGGCTTTTATTTTTAGTACAAATGGAAATAATTGTCAGAATGGCTGAAGGTGATGCAGAGAGCATCTCTCATTGATGTTACCTCTGTTTGACAGTTGGCCCATCAATTCCTCCCGCTGTCTCCTACTCGAAAAGAGCTCAGGCAAACAGTGTGGAGGGTGAACACAAAGAAGAATGGGACAAAGATGCATCACGTAAGCTGAGCAGCACTACAGTTGGGTCCAAAGGCGAGATGGCAGCAAGTCCACTGGTGGGCCCTGAAAGGAAGAAATCAACTACCGTTCCAACTGTAAGCACCCTTTTCATTCACCAGTGTGGTCAGATAGTCTCAGTAACACAAGCAAGTATTAATATTCTTACATACTCTCATGTAATTTGTTTAATAGTGGAATATTAAAAGATGGTGGGGGGAGGACACACAAAGACTGGCATATAAAAAACTAGCAGTGACACCTGGCATCTGGTTGGATTTCTAGATAACTTCACATTGCTGGAAATGAAGCATAATTTTGGTGGTAGGGGGAGGAAAGGTGATGAGAAGGCAGCAGAAGCATCATTCTTCCTTGTATTGTTCTGCTTGAGATCCCTGCGACTCCCACACACGCAGACGGACTCCAGTTTGGCTTTTAGAAAGTCTTGCAGACTCCTACATCCTGAAAATTGGTTATTACATTTCACATAAGTGCCTAATTGTTTTATGTCAAGGCAAATACCTGTGGCACTGCCTTCCTTTTTACAGCATCATTTTGACCACAGTGCTAGTGAAGTAATCTGGCAGAATGGAAATCAGGCACCCTGATTCTACAGACAAGCAAACTGTGGAGGGCATGGAGCTGCTTGTGCTCTTATAGCTGCAGCAGCAGCTTCTTCCTCTTCTTCCTCCTCTTCCTCTTATTATTTTCACTTCTGCAATTCCCCACAGCCTGAAGCTTTCCAGACAGAAGTCCAAAAACAGATATTAAAATACAATAACATATAAAATCAAAAATATTTTAAAATTTTAAACAATTAAAACCAAACAATATCAGAGAGAGACATATTATATATTACTTATTATGTGAGGCAAATAACAACAACAATATTAAAACAACAATGCCCTTCCTGCATGCCCTGTGGAATGGCCATCTTCCCCTGGCTGGAGAGGCTGATCGGGCTTGTATCACTGAGACCTGAGTGGGTGAGCCGGATGGGGTTACCCTCAACTGTGCCCTCCTGGGCACTCAGTACAGCACCAGCATTGATTTGAGGGCTGGGAGGTGGGGTGGCTGTGGTCTATAGGAATGCGATCTTCCTTTCTAGGCTTCCTGCTCAGTCAAATGTGGGTCTTGAGTGTTTCCACCTTGTGCTGGGCACCTGAGACAGATTAGGGATGCTGCTGGTATACTGCCCACCCCGCTGCCCATCAGTTTCGCTGCCTGAGCTGCTGGACTGGCCTCAGGCTTGGTGTTGAGGACCCATAGGATGATGGTTCTGGGGGATCCTAACTTCTGTGTCAAGGCTGCTGCATCTGAGGCAGCTCAAGCCTTCATGGCCCCCATGACAAACATGGGGCTGTCTCACCATGTTACTGGCCCAACACATATTCATGGACACACCCTTGATCTGGTTTTCTGGACTGGGCAGGAAGATGGTGATCTGGAATGGTGGTGGTGGTGGGGAATTAACATCAAACCCCCTGCCATGGTCAGATCACTTCCCAGTAAGGTTTAGACTTTCGTCTCCCTTTCTGATGCTGTAAATTGGTGTCCTGCAACAGCAGCAGGTTGGACCCAGTGGCCTTCATGGTCCCTTCCAACTTTACTATTCTGTGATTCTATGATACGATTCCATGATTCCCCTCTGCAAGAGTGGGGGACCTTTTCAAATGGTCTCGCTCCGGAGGATAATGGCTTCCAATGGCTAGTGCAGTGGAAGCTGCACTGGCAAGTCTAGACCTAATTCAGATTTCTCATACTAACATTCAAAGCCCTAAATGGCTTGGGGCCAAGTTATCTGAAGGATCACTTTGTCCCATGTGTACCTTCCTGAACAGGGAGGTCATCTCCAGAGCTCCTTCTCCAGAAGTCTCTTCCAAAGGAAGTGAGTAGGTGGCTACCAGGAGGACGGCCTTCTCTGTTGTGGCACCCCAGTTTTGGAATGAGCTTCTCGGGGAGGTCCACCTGGCGCCTACTTTGTATTTTTTTTTTGGTGCCAGGTGAAGACCTTTTTATTTTCCCAGCATTTTAACAGTTTAACCTTGTGTTTATATGTTCCATTTTATTCTGTACCACTGCTATGTTTCTGTGCTGAATAATAAGAATTGCTATTATGCTTTTGATCTTTTAAATTAATATGTGTGTGTGATTTTGTAACTTCCGTTAACTTACATAATTTTGTAAGCCTTGCTATCTTTATTATGGCTGAAGTCAAATTCAAATCTTTAGTCTGGCACTTGGGTGAAGAGTTTCCAATCCATTCTGTCTCTTTCAAAATTTATTATGATCTATTCACTGTCTGTCTGATTCAGCTGCAATGCCAATTTGTTGCAGTTAAGTGATGGGAGATATGTCCCCTCCAGTGTCCTTTATCCTTGATCCAATAAACATGAATTCATTAAGAATTCATCTGCAGCTTATAAAAAAATTAATGAGTGGTGGTGGGGATTTATTGATGTGGGGGCATAGAGGTCCTAGCATGGCCCAGCACCGTGGTTGGAGGTGTTGTTTGGTCTGGAGATCTCACACTTGGCCATGTCCTTGCTTTCCGCAGTGAGCTATGCATATCAGCCTGCCCTTGAGCAGGACAAAAGTTTCCAGCCAATACTTGGGCTGATGTTCTTCGAGATTTCTGTGCCATGGTACACCTTTGATAGTGTAAGACAAACCAGCTAAACCATTTCAGAGTTTCTAAAATGAGGCCACAAGATGGAGCCCTAAAATCTGGCAGCAGGACCACTTTTGGTGCTCTGAGTTTGATGCCATCTCTCGTTAGGATAGTGATGTTATACTTTATCCTAAATACAAAGATACTTAAGCAGCTGCTTATATTTAGGGGCTAGTTTAGTATGTGAATAGCTGACTTTTCAAATCAATATTCTCCCCTTTGAGGAAAGATGATCCAAGGCAATTAGGAAATAATTGCAGTAGCTGTTTGCCAGAGGCTACAGGAATTTGCATTTCCCTTCAGGACAGTGTTCATTGTAGCTGCCACTTTGGATTTGAAGTCACCAATAATGGGAGCTTGTTCTTTTCAAACAATACTGCAGCCTTTGGTTCTATAAGCATATAGAAGAGCTGTCTTTTTCTTGTCTGTGCTTGAATTGACTTGACTCACTATCAGTAGAAAATCTCATTGTAGTACAGAGACTTTCAAGGTAAGGAATACAGGACAGATGAGAAGAAAGCCATAGCTGACCTCGGGCAAAATTTTAGCAGGATAGTTGATATAAATGTATTCCACTCGTCTTTTGTGATCTGCACTGGCTTCCAGTCTGTTTCTGTACCCAATTCAGACTGCTGGTATTTACTGTCAGAGTACTAAACAGCTTGGGTCCTGGTCACCTGAATAAGCATCTCCCCCATATATACCTAAGATTATCCTCAGAGGCCCTCTTTCACATGAAGTGGGGCCTTTCCATTGTGGCTCCCCAGAGAGGTTCACCTGGCACCTGTGTTGTGGACCTTTCAGTGATAGATGCCTTTTATATTCTGGGAATTTTAAGTTCTTCAGGTTTTTTAAAATTCAATTATTGTAGTTTTAGATCATTAGACTGCAGTTGGTCTTACTTCTTAAACATTTTATTTCATGTACTTATCATATTACTCTATTTCATTATTTTAACTTCAGTGACCCTCCTAGAGATTTAAAGCTATTGGCTGGTACAGATATATAGCGAATAGGGTTTTTAAAAGTTCGTACACTTAAGTAAGCAGCTTCTCTGTAGTAAAAGTGAGAAGTCAAGAATGCTTGCAGACTCTCACCACAGTTACAGTGTAATGTGTGATGCACCTGTATACATAGGAGTTCTGCAGTTTTCATGTTGCCCATCCCCCCCCTCACCCATATGAGAACGGATTGTGCAGCTTGGCTGTGCCTGTCACCCAGTTACACACTATATTAAAGTGATTCACCCGGCACGCTTGCTATACCATGTATTTGCAGAAGCTGCATAGGTCAGCCAAGAAACCAGGTCAGTGCTTTCTGAACCAAGGCTGGAATTCAGTGGGCTGTGCATGCACCTCTGTTTTTCTGAGGGGAAAGTCCCACTGTGTTCTTTAGACTTTCTTGAACTGCAAAGGTTGAGCATCTGGCAGAAAAAGTCATTAAAAATCAGGATAGCCAAGATGCGCCTTGCTTGTCCAGTTCTCCAAACTACTTCTGTATTCATAGGATACAGTGAATTCAGGGTTCTTGGAGGTTGGGGTGGCAGGTAAGCACTGGTTCTACTCCCGCAAATTGTGTCCCCAGTCTGTTATTCTGAAGAGCCACTGCTTTTAACTTTATCCCCCCAAGGATCAGTTTCTACAAAAGACCCGTTTTGACATCGCAAGGATGTACCTTTAGCACATTTGTGAGAATACATAACAGCATTGCTTTTTTTTTTATCAATGAACTTAATTTAGCAAATGCAAGTGTGTGATGTCAAAATATATGAAAGAACATATGAATATGCTAATGTGCGATATAGTTAGGCTTCTTACTCTACTGTATATTTTAAGTTGTAAAATGCATGTTCCCATCTTCTCTAGAACAATGTGTTTTCGGGGACTAGCATGACACGAAGAAATACCTACGTCTGTGAACGTTCTACAGATCGCTATTCTGCTATTCAGAATGGGAAAGACAACAGGTACTGAACCTGATCCCTTCAGAGTGTAAGAATTTGTGCTGTATTGTCAAAGGGCTTGAAAAAGTATTTAGCGTGACAGATTTAACTTAAGGGGCAAATGGGAGCCCTGCCTGAGCAGTGAGAGCCTTCCCCAGCTGGGGCCTTTATCAGGAATGTTGCACATACATTGACATTGAAATGCCTGTCCTGGCTTATTCTTGTATTTGTATTTAACTGTTACTACAGGACTCATTTAAAATGCTACCAGTAGATAGCATGGTAGAGCTAATTCAGCAAGACTGGATGAGGGTCAGTAACTGAAGCGCAGTCCAGATAAGACAGAGGTTCTGTTGGTTGGCAGTTTGTTTGTCCAAGTGGGAAATTTTCAACTGATCTTGGACAGGGTTGCACTCCCCCAAAGGATAAGGTTCATAGCTTGGGGATGTTCCTGAATCCTGAGCTTCTTCGTCGTGGCCTCTGTGCATCACACATATGGGTACTGCGCCTGCGCAGTGCCTCTGGCTGGAAGATTGATAGCTAACGGTTTTTGGCGGGAAGCTCCGCTCCCTCTCCCCCTTGTGGCCTATAAAGAGCGGAGCGTCCACCATTTTGTTCAGTCTTTGCGACCGCCGTTCACTGTGCCTCATGCCGCTTTCAACTTTCGCTTTGGCTATTCTTGGTTCTCTCTTATATATTGCCCTTATAGTACTTTCCCCTTACTTCATTTCCCGCTTCTGTGTAGTTTTTCTCTTGTTATTTCTTCTTCGATCTATCAAAAATACCAAAAAAAACAAAAAAACAAAAAATATATACTTACCCTCTGCACTATCTCTCTTCTTTTCTTCTTTTCTTCTGCGATGGTGCAGCAAGCGGCTTTCTGCAAATGTGCGGACTGCAGGTCAAAAATGGCACCTACTGACCCGCACGACCTATGCCTCCTCTGCCTTGGAGAGGGGCATAGGACGGATAAGTGCGTTCATTGCCTAGCCTTCTCAAAGCAGGCTAGGAAAAACCGCGAGAACCAGCTTCGGAGCCTCCTTTGGGATAGGGCTCTGATACAATCAGACCCGCTTGTCTCTATCCCAAAACCTGGCTCCGCTTCTGTGGCTCCACCCTCATGCCCTTCGGATGAAGGTGTGTCTGCTCTGGTGGCCCCCTCTGCTTCACCAAAAAAGAGGCATGAGAAGTGGAAGCATGCCAAAGAGAAGCCGGCAGGCCATAAGATGGCCAGAAAGGAGAAGGCCTCTAAGCCTCCGAAGAAGGCTAAGTCCACGGACCTTTCCCGACATCGGGACTCAGAGCCGACAGGACTCTCGGTACCGGTGGTGGTTACGATACCGACCCCGCCCGAACCAATCCTTCAGGAGGCCATGCGGGTTACCCCTCAAGGGTCTCCCCGACGTGCGGTCGACCTCCCGCCTGCACCCCTTCCAACTCTACGGGGGTCTGTTTCGGATGGGGAAATCCAGGACTCCCCTCCTAGGGCGAGGTCACCGACACCGATGCCCGCGGTGACATTGGAGACAGAAGCTGGCCTGTCCCCACCAGGGAATCGGAGGAGCCGCTCGGTAAAGCAACGCCCGGAGAGTTGGCGTCGTCCCTACTACCAACCTTGGGGAGACCCGCTCTCTGTGGGGTACTACCCTGCTCCCAGGGCGCGATCCTCACCTCCGCCCCGCGACCAACCGTGGTCTGTGGATTCGAGGAGGGTGCTACCTCGATCCCCGCAAAGCGGAAGCAGCCGCTCCTTCTCGCCGGCGGAGTCATCATCTTCTACCCCACCATACTATGGTGCTGATTCGGATGACTCTGAAGTAGACTCAACCTCCCCAGACGTCGTGGTGACATCCCAGGATCCTGCGTCACCCGATGAGTCACACGTCTCCTTCGCAGAGCTGATGTCGAGGCTTGTCCAGTCCCTGGACATCGACGCTGCCCAGCGCCCGGGACCGTCAATGGACAAGTTTTACAACGTCCGCGGGGAGCAATCGACCTCCATCGTTCTGCCACTTATAACTACCCTGCGGCAGGCGATGACGCAGCCCTGGGACCTACCTTCACATCCTCAGCCGACGTCTAGGAGATATGAGTCTATGTACAGGGTCCGGGAAGAAGACATCCCCTTCCTGCTAAAGCACCCGAAACCAAACTCGGTGGTCATCGAATCCTCGCAAGGCAGAGAGGCGAGAGGACATACGGTGCAAAGGGATAAGGAGGGCCGGAAAATAGATTCCCTGGCCAGGCGAGTCTATGCTGCCTTGGGCTTAGGACTTCGCATTTCCAACTACGAGGCGACGTTGGCGCGATATCAATATTTTATTATGCAGCGCCTCCACAACGTCGCCTCCACCCTCCCGGACCACCAGGGTGACCTTGCGAAGGTCCTAATCAAAGAGGCCATGCAGGTCACGGTGCAGCAGTTGTCCACGGCACGTCACCACGTGGACACTGACTCCCAAGCCTTGGTCGGTGCCGTTTCCCTCCGGAGACACGCATGGCTCCGGAATTGTAATTTCCCGGAGGAAACCAAGCGGTGAATAGAAGAGATGCCTTTTGATGGTTCCAGGCTCTTCCATTCACGTACCGACCACAAACTCAAGAAACTGCACGAGTCAAGAATGACGGTGCGCAGGATGGAGATCCAGTCACACAACAGACGTAAGTGGTTCTGGAGTCGGCCTTCCTACAGGCAGTCATACCAGCAGAGACAGCTGCCACAACACCGCCAGCAACAACAGTATCAACAGCGCCGCCGTCCTCAGCCCCAACAGCACTTCCAACAGGGCTGCCGTCGTTTCGACGATTGGAGGCAGCGCTGACGGGACTGGCGAACCACTCCTCATGCTCCTCTAATACCCACCCCCCTCTCATCTGGGGATCAGCTCCGAAGCTGACTCCCCATTTGGGAGTCCATCACATCTGACCGGTGGGTATTATCTATTGTTCAACACGGCTATCGAATAGAATTCGACATTGTTCCTCCATCGAGTCCGATCCGGTCTACTTCATGTTCGCCGGTACTTCTCGACGAAATACATCAACTTCTCCTTAAAGGAGCGATTCGTCAAGTATTTCCATCTGACGGACTTCACGGATTCTATTCCAGATACTTTACGGTCCCCAAGCGGGATGGTGGTCTACGTCCGATTTTGGATTTACAGATCTACGTATTAATACAGAGAAATCTTCTCTTCTTCCGACACAGACGCTCACCTTCATTGGAGCCCGCTTGGATTCGACGTTGGAGAAAGCCTTCCTCCCTCAGGACAGACGGCAGACTCTCGCTCGCCATATCCATCGAATCCGACGAGAGGGAACGGTTATGGCGAGATCCATCCAGAGGGTCCTGGGGTATATGGCCTCCTCAGTTGCCATGGTTCCACATGCCAGACTTCGGCTTCGCCCACTACAACTATTCTTCAACAAGGTGTATCATCCACAAAGAGACCCACAGTCGAAACGGATTCGGATCCCGTCTTCCGTGCTGCACTCCCTGTGCTGGTGGCTGAAACCGACCAGTCTCGTGATGGGAGTCCCCTTCAGGGTGCGACCTCCTTCGATAACTCTCAGTACCGACGCGTCTCTCCTAGGATGGGGGGCGATATGCTCTGTCCTGTCTACCCAGGGAACGTGGACTCGTCTAGAATCCATGAATCATATCAACTTCCTAGAGCTGCTGGCAGTCTTCAAAGCCCTTCGTTCTTTCGAAGACCTCCTTCATTATCGGATCGTTCACATAACTTCGGACAATATAGCGACCGTTTTTTATCTGAACAAGCAAGGAGGGACGAAGTCACCGACCTTAGCCAGGCTTTCTATGAGAATTTGGGACTGGTGCATTCAGAGACACATTACTCTGATGGCCGTTCATCTGGCTGGCACAGACAACGTGCACGCGGATCTTCTCAGACACATCTTCACTTCTCACGAGTGGGAACTGGATCCTCGTACGCGCAACCACCTTTTCAGGCACTGGGGGTTCCCCAATGTGGACTTATTCGCTACTCGACGGAACAGGGTATGCGAGATTTACTGTTCCAGAGCGGGAATCGGACAAGCATCCCTAGGGAACGCATTCGTGATCCCTTGGGACAACATCAACTTGTATGCTTTCCCTCCGATCCCTCTTCTGATCAGGGTCATAGCAAAGATAGTGAGCGACCGTGCATCGGGGATACTAGTTGCCCCTTGGTGGCCACGTCAAGCGTGGTTTGCGAAACTGCTCGACATCTCCCGCGGGGAGTTTCTTCATCTTCCGGCACTTCCATATGTTATAACGCAAATGGACGGCACACTTCGTCACCCGGACTTGCTCTCATTGAACCTGACAGCGTGGCGGATTCGATGATTGACCTTTCATTGGGGCCGACGATGGATTCGAGAGCCTCGAATCTGACAGCTTCTATTAATTCATTGGTATCGACAATTACTTCGACCGCTTCGGTTCCGATTCTCGAATCCAACCATGCGGGTGCCTCTCACTGCCACAGTCTCTCTGTACCATCCGGTTTGAGACAGACCCCGTCAAATTCGAACCCAATGCTCTTGCACCCTGAGATTCAGCATATTATCGACTCTGCCCTAAAGCCGTCCACAAGGAAGTCATATACGGCTAAATGGAAACGTTTTTCCACCTTCGCCGAGTCTCATTCGTTCTCCCCACTTGTCTCATCAATTGAACAAATTCTTCAGTTCCTTCTGGAGTTGCATCACTCTGGACTGAAGCCGTCTTCTATGAAAGTGTGTATGGCCGCAATAGCCTACTACCGTGGCTTAGTCGACGGATCACCCCTATTTTCTCATCCTATCCTCAAGAGATTTTTGAAAGGACTGTATAATTTTAAACCATCGATTAGACCGGTTATGCCCACGTGGAGCCTTTCTGTAGTTTTACAGGCCCTTATGAAGGCCCCCTTTGAACCTTTGGTGACTGTGGATCTCCGATTAGTTTCTTGGAAGACGGCATTCCTTGTAGCTGTCACGTCAGCCCGGAGGGCCAGTGAACTTTGTGCCCTCCGCGTCGACCATCCTTATCTAAACTTCCACAGAGAAAAGGTCGTTTTACGTCTCGACCCATCTTTCTTGCCCAAAGTCTCTACACCTTTCCATACAGGACAAGACATTGTACTGCCTGCCTTTTTTCCATCGCCGTCGAATCCCTTGGAAAGATCCTTGCACTCCCTCGATGTTCGGCGTTGTTTAGCCTTTTATCGATCGCGAACGGAGTCTATTCGGCGATCCAATAAACTGTTCATCAAATATTCGGCTAGAGATCAGGGCGACCCAGTCACTCCACAAAGGCTTTCTAAATGGATAGTTCACACTACTGTCTTCTGTTATCTCTGTAGCTAAGCTCGAATTGCCCTCAGTTCCTCGAGGCCATTCTACTAGAGCTGTCGCTATATCTTCTGCATTCGCATCCGGGGTTCCGATTGATGACGTCTGCAGAGCCGCTACTTGGGCGAATCCCTGCACTTTCGCCAAGCATTACTGTCTCGATGTTCGGGCTCGACGGGACTGCTCCTTTGGTAGAGCTGTTCTCTCCTCCGTCCTTCGATGAGGACACCTTCCCTCCTCCTTTGATGGTAAGCTTGTTAATCTACCCATATGTGTGATGCACAGAGGCCACGACGAAGAAAAGCAGGTTGCTTACCTGTAACTGATGTTCTTCGAGTGGCCATCTGTGCAGTCACACAACTCGCCCGCCGGCCCCGCTCGGTGTCGGTGAGTGGATGCATCGACAGCTCAATGTCGATGAGAGAGGGCATTTTCGGTACCGACCATCTCCTTTACGGTACTGACCAAAAAAAAAAAATCCATTAAGATACTGTACGTTTGGTCGCAAAAACTGAACAAAATGGCGGAAGCTGCACTCTTTATAGGCCACAAGGGGGAGGGGGAGCGGAGCTTCCTGCCAAAAGCTATCAATCTTCCCGTTAGCTATCAATCTTCCGGCCAGAGGCACTGCGCAGGCACAGTACCCATATGTGACTGCACAGATGGCCACTCGAAGAACATCAGTTACAGGTAAGCAACCTGCTTTTTCACTTGTCTCTCAGGTGTCCTGAGAAGGTCAAGAACACCTTCTATCAGCTTAGGCTGATTTTCCAACTACGCTCCTACTTGGGCGAGTGGAGCCTCACCACAGTTATCCACATGCTGGTAACCTCTCACCTGGATTACTGGAATACACTCAGTGTTGGGCTGCCTTTGAAGATGGTCCAGACTCTTCAGAGAGTCATATTGTGCTTATTTCCCTCCTTTTTCCTATTTATATGGTTGCAATTTTATTGTACTTTAATTTTATTATATTTTATTATTTGTCTGTTATTGTTATTTATTTTTATCTGTATTTTAAATATATTTATATTGCATTGTGAGCTGCCCAGAGAGCCTTTGACTATAGGGAGGCATACAAATGCAATAAATAAATAAGACTAGCTGTGCCAAGGTTTCAAGCCATTTGCTGCAGTTGATCAGGTCCAATTGTTTTCCTTAAGTACTTATGCAAATTCATGAGATTTTGTGGAAAGTGACTCCCCTTTATTGGGTTACCTTTTTTCCTCTGTGCTGTTTTGATTATCACTTAAGTTTTTTTCCCATTATTCATCAAAAATCCAAATGCCCTTCATTAATTTTCAAAATCATGAAAGAGTCACTTTGACTTTTTGTGAATGCCCCTTCCAAATTCTTGAAAATTAATTTTTATTTTCTTCATCTGTACTTTCTCCCAAACAAGTGTGGAATGGACACCACAACTGAAAATATTCCTTTCCTGTGTTTTCTTTATTGTCTGAAAACTTTTCATCCAAAAAAGTGTATGTCTATAACCTGTGAACAGAGTCAATACAAAGAATCGTGGCAGTTTTTTTCAGTGCAAGCTGTCTTGGCTGTAAATCTGATTTGAAAAATGTATTGAAAATAAGCTGGAATGTTCTATATGGAAGTGCTTTACTACAATTTTTTTATCCCAAGAACATTTTCTCTTAAGTCATTCCGTACGTACCCTATTTCTTTCTGATGAAAGCCTAACAGAAATGTCTGCAAGCAGTACCTCTTCCGCTGGCTCTGCTGTCACTTCTGCGATATCAGCACGACCTCGGCACCAGAAGTCCATGTCTGCTTCTGGTCACCCGATAAAAGTTACACTGCCAACTATCAAAGATGGCACTGAAGCTTATCGACCAAGGTATTTTTAATTATGTAGCATTTGAATGATGCTTTGTATGATCAGGCGTTATAAAACTAAACATAAGTATTTGATTTCAAGTGGCACGGTGTACAGTCAAGCTGACTTCCGACAGTCTATTATGCTTCTGGTGTTGAAGCCTATAGTATTAGTTACCTGAGCCAGTGTTACAAGGTTGGAAAACTAAATACTCTAAATGCTCATCTGAACAAAACTATGAGATGGTTTGTAATCCAGCTTCTGAGACAGGAGGGAAGCAGTCTGTCTGACATTAAGGGCTCACAGAAATAGGATTAGCTTTCTGACTGGTAAGAGATCTTGGGAAGTAGGAGAGGTGAAGAAGCAGGAATCCCGAGGTGAGGTAGCTGAAGGAAAGGTTCAGACTTGTTCATACACTGAGGAGCCAGAACCGAAGAGGAGGCTAGGTGAAAGAGCTTCCTTTCCATTTTTCTTATTTGTGTGTTTATATTTTATCCTGTCGTTGTTATTCATTCTTACAACTCTTTTGGGTTGATTAGGCATAGCATAACTGTTTGGGAGTACAATATCTCACTTAGTTCCACCCACCCCGCCCCCACTTTGGGCCTTTCTGTTGGAAAGACAAATTCTCTGAAATAGTGGCAAGACCTTATATCGGTATTGTAGGAGAAGAAAAGATTTTTATTCTCAAGGTTTCACTTTTTCTACAAGTGTTTTCAATGTACAGGGTTCAAGTGCTCTCTGTAGTCTTAGGCAATATTAAAGTAAGTAATCCATATTATCTTGCAGTACATATGATGCAGCTGCATTCATTACATGTGACGAGAACCACACAAACCTCAAATTTAGTCTGGAAAATAATCCTTGGTACACTGATGGCTTCTCATGATTTGGCTGTTTCTATGTCTCTCTTGCAAACGTTGTTCTGTCTTGCCAGCAGTGCAACTCAGAGAGCACCTGCTGCTTCCCCATCTGCTCACAGTATTAGCACTACCACTCCAGACCGAACCCGCTTTCCTCGGGGGAGTTCTAGCCGAAGCACTTTCCATGGTGAGCAGCTACGGGAGCGACGCAATGCCACTTATAATGGACCACCTGCATCACCATCGCACGAAACCAGCACATTTGCGCAAACAAGAAGAGGGACATCAACTGGCATTATTAGCAAAATAACTTCCAAATTTGTCCGCAGGTTAGTACAATGCATCATCTTCATTTCCAAGTGCCCTTAAAGCAGAACTATTATGGGTATGCTATTAAATTATATTAAAGTGAATCCAGTCTCACCCAAGTTACTGCCTGGTTGGGTGACTGCTTGGGAGCCCGTGTAAAGCAAAGTATAGTGAAGATACATACAGCATGCATGTTTTCCGTGTTGATGCCATCATGAGCAAAAGCTTCTTGGAATGAATTGTACCATTCGGTATGAAAATCAGATAGATATGATCAATCCTGGATTTTTGGCTAGTGTATATGAAAATGCTGATAGGCATGCTAGCACTTAAAATAGCACAGGCAGATGCTAACACAACTAGTTTCCTACATGGATTGCACTGCTGTGAAAGAAGCTATGTGCACAGTCATGTGGTGAGTATATACCCGACTGTGGATTGCATGAATATACTGTGGAGACGTGTTGCTGGTCTGGGCTTCTTGGTATGTGTATGTGCAAAAAAGTAGGCACAGGGGTGGTGGGTGCAATTTCCTGCATGAAAGTGATTTTGGTGTAAGGAATTCCTTTTTCTTTAGAGCAGCCCCAAGAATTTGGTTTTACTTATTTTTCCATTCATCTTTTCTAAAAATAATGATTGTGAGAGATAGTATCAGGAGTTTACTCAGGTAAAGTGCTTCACCCACATTTGGACAATTCTCCACTCTCAAGCAACTCCAGTACCCTGTCCCATCCTGTTCCAGAGAGCATTCTAGCCTCACAAGTGGCTTTGATGAAGTGGACCTCTTCCATATTACTCTAGATACAATCCATTGTAACTTACTTAAAATAGCATTTGCTTTTGTTAGCAATGCTTGTTTAAAATCTCAAAAATGAGGTTAGCATATGAAAGTTGGTGATTTAAAGACAGTATCTTCATGTACCTTTGCTTCCACAATAAAAATTACATTGATATTTTCCTATTTGTTTTTATAAATCAAAACCTGATTACTAAACAGGGTGTGTATTGGCTGTAGTGACTAGCAAATGTAAAGCATTTTGCTCAACTAACAAGATACTCTTGACTATTAGACAACATTTTTGTTTTTTCGAAGAATAGATTTTTTCCTGTAAGTAAAATCTAAAAACTACAGACAGCAGGCACTGTTGTAGAAGAGGCATTCTGCCTTATCTGATATAGGAGGGATGTCTCTTTTAAGATGATGCCTACAGATGCACACATAGGCTACATCTGAAACAGCATTCCCTACCCTAGTGCCATCCAGATGTGCTGGACTACAAATCTCAGCATTCCTATGCTGGATGGGATGGTGGGGGTTTCTGTCCAGAATGTGTAGAGAGCACCAGTTTGTGGGGTAGAGAGCACCAGGAATGGAAGCATGTTTCATTTTCGAAGGTGCAGAGTATATAAATGCAGTTATTCATTCAGGCTCAAGCCACTGTGCAGTGACCCACATTTTTCTAGAAGTAGAATTAAAATCCAAGACCAGCCCTCTTCTGATAGAACTTTCAAAATGTCTGTTGTGTCATCAGCATGCCTTTTTCTGATCACTAACTAACAACTTTATGATGTAAATTTGTCATTCTGAAACAGCATGTTCTAACTCAAGAGATCTGGATCTTGTTTTAAAAGTCTGTGTGGCAGTTGTCTGGTCCACTAAAATCTTTTGGGAGTTCTATCACTGACTTCCCTGTGGGTCTTCACTTGTACGAGATTTCTAATAAGGAATTGTTCAATTCTGAAATGCTTTCCATGCTTAGGTAAATGGAGAACTCACTTTCTAAGGCTTCTATGTGTGCAAGCACTTGGCGAATAGCAAGATGTCTTTTGTGTCGCTTAGTAACTATATCTAAATTTTCAAGTTATGATTGCTGTACCTGTTAATTTTGTCTCTTTTTTCTTAGGCAGTAGATTTTGTACAAATATAGGGTGGAATGGAATGCTTTTTTAAATAGTATAATAAGGTGTATTATATGCAACTTGCCATAGTGATTTGATATCAGTAAAATTAATGCATTGTTTGTTTGTTTTTTTAAACCTCGTTGTTACAGAACTTTCTCTGTAGATCAGGCCTGCACAATTTGTGATCCACCAAGCTGAAAGCAGTCCACAAGCCTTCTTCAGCAGCCTACCTGGTCATGTTAGACATCTGTTTTAGTGTCTGTCTGGGAGTGCAAAACAAGATGGGTTGCCAATACTGCTGCTGCCATGACTTGCATTTCCTTACTTGGAAATACAGGTTTCAGGGACTTGGAATTTTCCTTCTCTTATTTATTCTCTCCCTCCCTCCCTCCCTCCCTCCCTCCCTATCTCACTCACACACACACACACCTTCAGCTTTAACTATAATCCAACCATCCCACTTACCTGTCTGTTTCTGCTTTGTCAGCAGCAGCAAACTCAAGGGAGGGATGTCTCAGATCCTCTAGCACCCAGCACAGTGCTACACTATGAGGAAAATAGTTTTCTCATGGGCTGGTGACTGAAAAGAGTGGGTGGCTTAGGGGCTGATGGGGTGGGATCAGTTGGGCCGGAAGTAACCCAGGCTGTTGCTTGAGGGGGGTGGTGCGGTAACCAGTCCACTTCGAGCCAAGGGAAACTCACATTTAATTTGTTGTGAAGTAACTGGCAGATGTGCTGCATTTGGCTTGGTTGGTCACAAGATATTACATTTTAGTATAAACTGCATTCTTGTATGGTTAGTTTATAATGCTTAATGGGCCAATAATAAGCCTTGTCTAAATATTTCTTGCATAGGGTAAGATACATCCTTTGCCAGAACTGGTTTATAGATACATTGATGTGAAACGTTGCTTACTATTGGATATAAATTTAATACCATCTATTCATACCAATATACTTGTGCTATGCAGTATACAGGAGGCCCCTTCAAATATTACATCCTTTTTGGAAAATGTCCAGCATCTACTTGGCCATACTCTTGATCAGACCAAATTCAATAAGGTATTGTTAGGTTTACCTCTTCCAAGTTAGTGCCAAGACAGCTTTTTTCTGAGCTGTGAATTTGGCAAATGCTGCTAAGAAGAGGTGTCTTGGAGTTCTCAGATGGGAGCTGGGAGGGTGAGAGGCAGAAATCTCATATTTTCAGGCACTCTCCACAGTTCTGAATATATACACACACAATTGCCAAATTGGCTTTACAGTCAAATTGGTATTAACAGCTTACTGTTGTACCAAAGCCATAATAAGTAAGAATCCTGGTTAAGATTGGTTCTATTTGGATTGTGCTCTTGCTATTAATATGTATTTATGGGGAACAGAACAAAAATTCTAACTTGTGAGGATGGTTATTTTGGTTAGCCATAACTTAAGGGGAAGGGCTGGGAAAACTGAAGCTACCCAGCTGGGTAGAAATAAATGGGTATTTTGTAGGAAATAGTAAGCTGCAGCTGTGAAAAATATTATTAAAATCTCATTAAATGACAATTACATGTTGAATATTTGCTCCACGGTAATTTTAACTTTGTTCTAGATACAGGTTTTCTTGACTCTTTTTTTAAATCTTCATTTATTAAAATCTTGACCTTAACTTTGTTTTGAGGGATCCAAGTGAAGGCGAAGCCAGTGGCAGAACCGACACCTCAAGGTGAGGAGCCACTAATTAATACTTCGCTGCTAGATCCCTTTGTGTTCAAAGTTTCATGATTCTGAAAGCCTTTAAACTCATGCTAAACAGAGAAGTCTCTATAGATAACTTGTCTTTTTAAAACATTATGTATGAGTTAAATTTCCCATTTCTCCTTTAAATACTACTAAGTTAAACTAAATAACTTCATTTTTTTAAAAAAAGTCAGTAGCTATGTGCCTGCAAGTTCTTAGTAGTTAGAAGTCCCCACACTGGGAACTTCTACCTTGTAAGGCTTTACACAGTCAGAGGTTTGGGGCAGAATTCCATGTATGCTTAGGCAGAAAAGACTCTTACAACTTCCGGCCTTCCCCAGCAAACTGCCTGGAGGATGCTGGGAATCGTGGATTCTTTCTGGCTAAACGCACACACAGTCACGCACTCTTAAGCATCATTGGACCTTTGGCTATGCAAGCAGTTTCCTTCATTGTATAAAATAATCTATTACCATTCTAAGAAGCAGGCCAGCTACGTAACAATCCAAACCAGGAAACAGAACTGCCAGATTCCTCTGCATTTCCCAAATGTTACTGTTTAGGCAAGAACCTTTTGGGTTAATAAGAGTGTATGCATAGACATAAAATAGACTGATGTTGCTTGACAATGATTGTTAAGGATAATACCTTTGAACTGGTTGATGTGGGAGTGACCTCAGGCCTTCAGATGTTGGTGTCTGTATTCTTCCTGCCTTGTGTGCAGGAAAGGCCATGACCCAGATGCACTTTTTGGCACGTAAAGGCAATAGGTTTGGAAACAAAGAACATGAAGGAGGATCAAATGAAAAGGTTCTCATCTAGTTTGTGGAAAAGATGAAATGGCACTTGCTGGGTCATTTCTTTTTTTAATCTTTGCAAGAAGTAAAAATGCAAAGATGCAAACTTCTGAGGCTTGGGTGTGTTGCTGGTGTGCAGTGCGTGAATGGGCTATGCTGACATGAGGAGGTGCAGCCCTTCCCAGCACTGGCCAGGTGCCTCATTTTCTACATCTCCTCTGATCAGTTACAAATATGTGAAGGCTCTGCAGGGCAGAGGGGCAATCTTGGAAGGCTGGGTTAGGTCTGTGGGCTGGAGTTTCCCATCATGTGCACCTATATACACACAACCACCTCTACTGCTACCACCAGGAGAGTCCTTAGCTCGTTAGATAGTGAAAAATCTAATACTGAGATCAGATGATAACTTGTTTTTTTGCCCTTTAATCACAAATGCAGAGCTCCTGAAATGCACACAAGTGCTTCTGAAACCTCCTTGTGATTATTTTCCCCTTGGATTTTTATCTGACATCAGCTGCTTGCCAAAGGCTTTCCCCTGAAGCTTGTCTGTTGGTTGAGTAGCTGGTGGTGGAAGGTTAGAGTACCTTTAAAAGGATAGGAAGAGCTTGGAAGCTCTGTGCAGGATGGTCTCTGCAATCCAGGCCTTGGTAACTCAATGCCAGATAGTTTGCCTGATAGATTGTGTGGTGGTAAAAAGTCAGTTCTTTTTGTATCCAAGTTGACATGCCTGAGGCCACTGCTCATTGTTCCACATCCCAGAATTTATAGAGATGCAGGTACTACTTTTGGATATTAAAGTAGCAAATATTTAGTAGACGCCTGAAGCACATTGAATAATGCTGAAAGAGCTAGGAGACAGCTAAGGATAATGACTGGGATGATTCTGAAACAGGCCCTTTATGTAATGCAGACAGCATAATTCTCTAGGGCTGCAAGTGTATGCACACTTACTTGGGAATAAGTCCCATTGAATTTTGGGGCCTCATATTGACTAAACATACATCAAAAACACTAGCAAAAATGGTTTAGTGTTTTATATTATTAGGTAGTATTTTCCCAGTCAAGTATCAATTTGAATATATAAATATTCTGCTTTGCACAAAAGGTGTGATAGATATGGGGAAAGAGCACACTGCTGTATGTAACAGTGTGTCTCCAAGTGCCATTACAGTAGGGGTGTGTGTGTGTGGGGAGGGGCGGTTATGGCAGTGTGGGGTGATGTTCCACATGGATTTGTGCCCATTGATTTTAAATTTTAAAATTATTTTTTTTTAAATTAAGGATATATCATTAAATTGCATAGTAGGAACAAACAACCTGGCTGTTGAAGATGAACTGAACTCTCTGTGTTGAGACATTTATTTTCTGAAATGGGCTGTTTTAGACCAGAACCATTCAGGATCGTTCCCCATTCTTTTCCTGCCTTCACCTTCAAATTGGCAAACTAAACTTCCATGCTAAGAAGTATGAAGATAAGACTGTCTGTGGATGTCAGGATGGCTTCCTCTCTCCCCTGCTTCCCACAGCATGCATTGCCTTCTGTTTTGTGTCACCCTTACACGTTTCGGAGGTGTGTGTTGTGAATCCTAAAGGAAGCCCTCAGAGTTGGCATCTGTGGGGCCTCCTTTTGCTGCTGTATTTGGCAACACCTCTTCTGAGTGAGAAGGTTTTAACCAAAAGCATTTTAAAACTGGCTGTTGCTTAAGTGTATTGCCCTTGCTTGTTTTTCTACTGAAATACTATTCACTTTTCAGGAGCACTTCTGGAGAGCCTAAAGAGAGGGAAAAGGAGGAAGGCAAAGATTCTAAGCCTCGGTCTTTGAGGTTTACTTGGAGTATGAAGACCACAAGTTCCATGGACCCAAATGACATGATGAGAGAGATTCGAAAAGTGTTAGATGCCAACAACTGTGACTATGAACAAAAAGAGAGGTTCCTTCTATTCTGTGTTCACGGTGATGCACGACAGGATAGCCTTGTCCAGTGGGAGATGGAAGTGTGTAAATTGCCACGCCTATCACTCAATGGAGTCCGCTTCAAGCGAATCTCTGGGACTTCTATTGCCTTTAAAAACATTGCATCCAAAATAGCGAATGAGCTTAAGCTGTAAAGAGCAGTGACATTTCTGGGATCAGGGAAGATTCAAGCTTACATTTTGAATGTACTGGTTATGCCTAAATTGATTGGCCTGTGAAACTCCCCATGTAGAAATTGTCCCTATTGCAATAAGGTTATATATAGTTATTCTGAATTGTAAAATTAAATTCAGTATGACCTATATTAAAAGAAAAATCTGTAGCTAAAGAAGTTATGTTCACATGTACAGGTAAGTATATAGAGCATTCTGTTCATTTTATGTTCATAGAGTTGTATAATAAGAAGGCGTAAATACAGATCTTGTATAGTTGTCTAGACATTGGCACAGAAGTGTGTTTGCTTTGAGCTGAAAAGTTCTTCCTGATCATTCTTTACATTTTCTGGTGGTTTTTATAATTCTTACCTCTGTCATGCATTTTTTTAAACAGTGTCTGTAGTAAAAATGCACAAAAATTGTTTTCACAACTGTAGCATGAACAATTTTAGTTGTTTTAAATGAATCATATATAACAATTGAATTAGTTAAAAGATAGGTTGGCTTTTGTTGTACACGGGATTTTTCCTGCTTCCCTTCCACTCTTATCCTCCTTTATAGAACAGTGTTCAGTTGAAAACAAAAAATGCAAACATGTTTACAGTGTTGGCACTTACAGAAAGGAAAAAAGGGGTTTCTGAGTGTGTTTCGCCTCAGGTCCCTTGAATCACTTTGGGGAACAGAAATCACATCTTGAAGATATTGTATTTGAAAACTTAAATCTTGCTCTTGTGACCCATGGTCAAATGTAGCAACAGAATAGAAGTACAGTGCATATGCATCAATCATTGTGTGAAATAATTGTTTGTTGCCTTTGAAAGAATTCACATACCATTTTATGAAAATATAACTTCATTTAGAGACTGTTCATAGCACAAGGTATTCTGAAATGTTGACCAAGTCTAAGAGCTTAATAAATGCCACCTCAGGAATTAACTGTTTTTTGAAATATTTCCCCATCTACCCCCCCAAAGAGTACATACTTTACAGCCAAGCATACATTGTTTATAACAATAGATGATTACTTATCTGATTGTACAAATTTTGTTCCCATATATCTTGTCTGTGTTTTTAATATTTTGCCCACTTTCTTGTATTTATTCCACATCATTATGCCTGTAATGTGCAGCTGTGTGTAGGCATTTGCCTATGGAAGAAGAAGAAAATTCCTTCATGATTAGTGATATAAACTCTGTAAAACCACTAGTACTTGGTACATTTTAATATTTGTTATTTTGTACTGAATTAATCATAGCGGTTGGTTGTGCAATGTTATTTAATGTCGTAATTACTGTAACTTCAGCCTATGGGCCCCATCTGCACACTCCTGTAAAGATTAGAAAAGTCATTCAAAATTGTCACTTTATTAAAAACAAAATACAAAAAAGCTGTGGTAAACTCTGTAACCCGAAGTTAGAAGGCTCTAAGCGTAGCTAAGCGTGCCATTTGAGAATGGCTTTCCGGCAGATGGACTTGACATGTACTGTACTGTGATGTAGCTCTCTCTTCTGTAACAGTTCTGTTCTGAAACGAACGTGTATTGTTGCCTTAGAAAAAAGGGTGGTGTTTGGCAAGAAAGGACTGTACCCCTTTTTATCTGGTGTTCTTTTAAAACATTTTTTGACGCACGTCATCCTAATTCACATTCACTGGTGCACTCTATTAAAAAGTTACTTGAACGGTTCTCATACTACTGTAGTCTGTCTTTTTGCTCTGCTGGTTGGATGGTTTGAGGTTTGCATGAGGAAAGGTTATGAGAGGAAAGGGGGAACTGTTGTATTTTATTGTCGAGCTAAATCTAGAGATTGGTGAATGCTGTGTTTCTTTGTGTTTGTGTTTCTTTTTATGTAATAGTTCTGTAGAATCAGTCAAATACCATTTTTTCTTGTTTTCTTTCTGAAATTTATTCAGTTTTATTTGAACCCAGACTCTGTATGAATTAGGTACAGATAGGAAATTGTGTGAGTTACTGAGTTTTACTTTTCATCTAGTTCCTGAGGGAGTGGACACACTGCAATACTTAAGATGTCAAAGCATAACTGACTGAAGATCAAAGGAAACCTGGCATTTGTACTACATAACTAATGCCCATCTTCCATTCACAAGCTGTTCAGTGCATACCATTTAATGTCATTCCCACAGGAAGAATGCCCACCGTACATGTCTCTTCTGGCCTTCCTGCAAAGTATGTAGGGTGGTATATCTGACTCTTTTTTTATCCTAACAACAGCCCCATGAGGTATGTAGGACTCAGAGAGAGTGACTAGCCCTAAGGTCATCCAGTAAACTTAATGGCTGAATGATGATTCAAACCCAAATCTATCTATGTCCAGTCCTAACCACTATACTACAGTGGCTCTGTCTTTATGGGGAAAAGTCTGTATAGGGAAAACACCTTTCATGGGAGGCTCACTGTTTATCATACTGTCACATGATCAGACTGGCGTTGCACAGTATTTTTTAAACTTAAAAACATCATAGAAGTTTGCAAAACTGGGCTCCTGTGAAATGAACACAGATGCCACAAGCAGTGTTCCTTCCCATATTTGCTTCTCTGGGAAAAAGCCACAAGCTGTAGTCCATCTCCAGATTCATCAGACTAAGTATATTGGCCTGATAACAGCTGTTTCTTTTCTTCCCACACATTGTTAAGAATGGAATGTAAAGAATGCAGGACTATACTGTTATGTGAAAGGATTGGGAGCAGGGGGAGAGAATACCTTGGTTTTAAAGATTTTGTTCTTGGTGCATGTGCTAGAATTTTACAGGTAAGTTCAGCCTCTCCATTTTTAAAAAGCAATATGTTGTTTTTTTTTAAAAAAAATCACTATATGCATGTCTATACAATTGTCATGAGATCTTCAAAGAAGAGAGTACTGGCCATGGAGAATGTCCGGTACACATGCAGTCAGTGCTGTTGCTACTAGACCAGTTCAGAGCTCATTTCTTACAGCCCTGGACTTGTTCCCAGAGTCCAGAGAGAGAGACCTTTCTGGAGGACCTCCAAATTCTGCCTCAGTGTTTTGTCTCAGCTTTTCCAACAGGCAGTATTATGGCCATAGATACTGACTCATGAATTGCACTTATAACCCTGAGTGTTGTCACTGATTCATGGACTATTAATAAACAAAAATCCAAGGAGAGTCCATGGTTGTTTGTTGTCAACTCTGGGCTGTTCGTGCTTAACCAATGGTTAAACCATAGTGTAGGATTTGCATATAAAAACAATTCAACAATGACTCATTCTCAACTATGCTTTGGCTTGTCTTTATGGGTGAACCAGGTCAGTGAAAAGTTTGAATGATTTTATCAAAGGGCCAGCTAGCAAACAATTACAAGTTCAGATCCATCCTTTCCCCACTTAAGTTATAAACTTGTACCCAAGCTGATGTTTTCCAGATAGATTGGGCTACAACTATGAAAGTTGGTTCTGCACATCTGTTATAGGTCATGCAGTTCAACTACCCTAAAGTAATAAAGGCCCTTGCTCTTTTGCTAAACCTTGAAATGAAGATGTACATTTCCTTCACAGGAATAAAATGGAGAAGAGTGAAGGATTTAGGAAGCAGGCAGTGCAGTGGGAGTAGAGGGAAAGTGTGATAAGATTCTGTGTGACAATTCCTGCTGGGAAAAAATGTGTGTAATTCTTAATATCTTGGTAATTAAAAGTATAGTTCTAACAGTGCTTGGACAGTGAGGCATGGGATAATACCTAATGACTTGGTGAATTACTTTAATGGCCACATCCAATGAAAACAAGATAAGCTTATTAATTAAGTCCTGTCAGCAAGATATTCAAACTAAAGAGGAAATAGCATACAATAGTAATAGGCACTGAATTTTTCATGTAACTTGTTTTTCTTTGCCCAGTAAAATGTTTATTGAAGTTATATCTGGTAGTTTCCTATTTCAAAAATGGCTTCCGATTCTATTTTTTGCCCTGGGAATGTGGATAAGCAGTATGCTTTCACATCTACACACACACTGCAGTAAAAGTACAGAATTCAAAGAAGTTTATCTACCCTTTTAAAAATTAAGTTTCTCTTGCTGAAATAGGAGTTAATACATGCCCATATCCCTTTTTTCCTGTCTGTCAGAGGGAAACCCTTGATGTTAATTATGTGAATGCAATTAACTCTGTGTTTGTTATATAAATAGCATGTGATGGAAAACCTGGTCCAGCTTCCTCAGCTTCTGTAATGCTGTCTATATTACAAAAAGCACCATTGTACATTGTTCCATTAAAACTGGGTTTAATTTGGCCCTGATGTCAGTGCCCTCTGTATCATCAACACTATTCCTCTTCTGAGATCCTTGCCTTGAGGGAAGGCTGGTTCAAAATTTAAACCAAGTAAATTTAAATTTTGGGTTAAAAGGGTCGCTGAATCCCAGCAGCAGAACTTTTCAGTAGGTTCCAGATGGCTGTGTTGGTCTGTTAATGGAAAAAACAAAATGACTCTTAATGTGATGCCTTAAAATCTTTAGATGATGTTGGACTCTTGCCTCCCTCCAGCCTCCAGGACTGATGGGCATTGTGTTCCAACAATATTTGGAGATCTAGGGATTAGTTACCCCTACCTTAAAGATTAGCAGGATTTGTGGAGAGGGAAGTAAACTTTTGTAAACTAAGATCCCACTGAAGTGTTAGCTTTGATGGGTTGCTATCTAGATACACATACATTTATAGAAGAGTGAAATAAGAGCAGAGTCAAAGGGCAACTACATGCTAGAAATAAGTGTACAGATCGTACTGCTTCTACTTCATGGACATTTGGCCCTATTTGCTACTGTTTTCCTCATATACAACTGACTGTAACAATATACTTTCCCAGCTGAAGATAACATTCATGCATATGATGAAGAAGCTTTCACTGCCTAGTCAAGAGAGCTTGTTCCCCAGAGTTCACTTGCTTCTTTGGCAAAAAGGCACCTAGAAAAGCAGTATGGCCAAACATTGGTAGAAGGATTGAGGTGGATCCCTGATGCCTATTCACAGTCGTCTTTGTCTTGGCCTTGTGCTGTCACAGCCTCCATGCCTGAGACGGTCTCTCAAGTCGTGGCAGCAGTACTAACAATCTTAAAGCACCCAGCACTGCAAGTTCTGGGTTGTGGTCTGCAAGAGGGCACGTGGGGTAAGGATCTGAAGCCACCAATTTTCCTAGCAGTGGACAAATTCTATCCTGCTGTCTTCCTTGTCACTTCCAAAGGGGCCCAGAACTGAAGAATGCAGCAAAGGAAAAAAAGCTCAAATTGTTCATCTTTTACCATTTCTACAGCACTTAAACAAAAAGTATTCCACGCGTTTCCCCTTAGACAAAGAACTGAGTGCTGTTATTTTCCAGCCTGAACTTCCCAACCAACCAGGCTAGCTTTGTTTCAAGCACTTGAACCGTTCAGGGCAACAGGAAGCTGCCTTTTGTGTGGATGTTATAAACAGCGCGGGGCTGGGCCCTGGCCTTTTCCGAACTGCTGCCTCCGTTGAGGAAGGAGAGCCCACACCTCCTCTACCATCACCAGCCTGAACAAGAGAGGCCCCCAATCTTGCAACTACGGCAGCCGCAGCCCGAGTTTTGCCTATCTCTTTAGAAATAAATCGGCCGCACCTCCCTCTTGCCAGGCCCCAGGCGGACTAATCCGCTCCTGCTCTTCCTGGAAGGGAAGGATCAAAGGTCCCTCGCTTGGCTGTTGCCTTCAAGCTGCTCCGCCGGCCTCCGCTGGGGACGACCCCGCTGCGCAATGACTGTGGGGCGCACTCTAAAACCCGAGCGCCCCCGGAGGCGGGGGCCTGCGGAGGACGAGATCGCTATCCTCGACGGGGAAGGGGGGGAGGAGGAGGAGGAGAAGCAGCAGCGAGCCCGGGGCAGCTGTCCCGACGAAGAAGCTGGCTGCCCCTCCAAGAAAGTTGCTTTCGCCTTCCTCCCGGACAAGTACCAGCCTCTAGGCTGGGGCGCAGAAGAGGCGCTGGGCGCCGAGAGCAAAAGCAAAAAGCGCCGGAGGAAACTCAAGAAATACGGCAAGGTAGGGACTCCCGACGCACGTGAAACGGCCGGCGGGTGCGGGAAGGGACTGGCAAAATGCGCTTGGATCTCGCCTAGGTCATCCCAGGCTCGGCGCACACATTGTACGCCCTGCAGCCACCCAGGAGGTCACCCATATTCGCTTAGTTACTGAGGGATTCCACATCCTTGATGCGCCCCACGGGGTCAGCCTAGCCGGTTCGTGGCTTTCCCAGGTTCAACTAAGTTTGCTGAATCTACATCGAGCAAGGTTCGATCGGGCCTATAATGTAAAGGAAAAATAATCTCGGATAAAGAAAAGTGTGTGTTGATCCTTCCGGATACTCTTTTTTGGCGAGAGTAGTGACCCCGTCCACTCCCGTAGGAGTTACAGGTGGGGGAAGGGGGGGATCCCTTCCGAGAGTTTTATATTTGTAAACGCAGATGCTTATAAAAAAATTGTATACTTATGTAGACCCATGGTGTTTCAGCAGGATGTTACTTTTCCCGTCTTACAGGAGTGCAACAATATGTAGGGCTTTGTTTATTCAGACGACTTAGGGAGGACTAGCAAAAATCTGAAGTATAGCCTGCAAGCCTAAAATCTGTCATGAAGCCACCTCCTTCCCTCTCCCCCTTTTCAAATCCCTCCTCAAGATGCTACCTTTCCCACAAGACCTTTGATTAAAATGAACACATTATGTTTTTTTCCTTTTTCTTTTGGTTTCTTGCTATGGCACGTTCATCCCTTGCTACCTATATTGGCCCCATTGCCTCTTTTGAATTTCAGGGATAGTGAAGGTGTACCCAATTGTTAGTAGTTTACAGCCTCCATCAGCCCTCACCTGCATAGCTAATAGCGAGTGCTGGTGGGAGCACCAATCCAGCAATAGCTGGGAGGCCACCCGTTTCCTAATGTTTATTCCTGCAGCTGTGCAAAGGATCATCTAGCTGGCGTAGTGCTGTCTAAATAAATCTGTAATAACAATGCAGTCTGGTTTGTCAGGATCTACATGAGGTCTTTTGGGCAGTTCATGAAGCAGAAGGCTGCTGTTGCAAACAAATTATCTTTGAAAACAAATAATTAGTTAAATCTGTCAAAGCAGCCTGCTGCTTTTCCCCCCCTTTCTGTTCAGAAGAAATCAGAAGCCAGTGTTCACCTAGATCAAAAGAGAGATCTGTCATTTCAGCCTGAAAAGACCTCCAAGCTAATCCATGTGACAGATGCTTTACATCTCTTTGTGCTGGATTTCACTTGGCATTCTTATTTTGACAATATTCCCAATTAGCAAGATGTGCAAAAATTGTTTCATGCTCCCCTCCCCCGCTATCACACAACAGTGACAAACAGAGAAAATAATAAACTCCTTTTCCAGCTCAGATTCTAAATTCAGCCTGAAGAGTGTGTCAGCATTAACACTTTACTGCCAGTTTACTTTGCCAGTAAAATACTACTTCTACAATGTATTGATGTATTACAAGTATATTTCTACCTATCATCCAAGGTGAAGTTATTCTCTGCCTTATTTTATATGACAACAACCATGTGAGGTAGGTTAGGCTAAAAGTAGTGGCTACCCCAAAGTACCTAGCTAGCTTTGCAGTTGAGTAGGATTTGAATTGATGTCTCTCTCACTCCTAGTCTAACATTCTGCGTGGTACCCTCCAGATGTAACATGACAACTCATTTTCAGCTAGCATGCTCCTGGTTTGTTGGGAATGGTGGGAGTCCTGTTCTTATACATCTGGAGGGTGTCAGATCATGGAGTGAAGTCAGCTCTAACTAGTATCCCAAACTTCTTGATGTGAGTCTGGTACTGAATGAGCTGCAGTTCTGAGGCACAGTGGACTCTGGACAGTTACTGGATTCAGAAGAGCTTTTTCTGCCCTCCCAGACAGGGACAACAAGGCTGTAGTCCTCTTACCAAGTATAGAAATGTCCATTCTTTTTAATAAAGAAAAACTCCGCCTAAATGAAAGAGAGCAGAGAGTTAGAATTATTGTGTTATTGTTTTATATTATTTTGTATTCACAACCCAATGTATTTTGGCTGTTGGACAATATAGAAGTGAAAGAAATAATAATAAATAATACAATGGGATTGGTCCATTTTGTTCACTTTCCCTGTCCTCTGAAACTATTTTTCATTATAAAACAGGGATGATTTTTTAAGGACTACATCTCCCTTTGTTAAAAAGGGAAGGTTTTCCACATTTGTTTTAGAAATTTCTATATGCTTGGAATTCTAGTGTTAAAATTAAACAATGTTTGTGATAATTACATTGAATTTAGAAGTGTGTTTCTTCATCGCAGTGGAATACTACCTTCTAACAAGGGAAGAAAGAATACACTGTATAGGAGGTTTCAGGGTGTCCATGGAAGTCTCTGGTCTTGTATTTAAACTAAAATGTTATTGATCATCTTCCATGCCACTGTTGATGGCCTTGGGGTATACAGATCAATTGTTCAAGCATGTGGGAGTCAAACCAACCAAAAGAAAACCCTCACAGGCAAATGGTTGATGGTCATAATCTATCGTCTTTGCCTTTTTGCTCCAGTTCATGGTAAGAGATTCACATCCTGTTTCACAAATGTTGCTGTGTTGCATACAGAAAATAAATGCAAAGGGGAATAGTCATTCATTTTTGCTGAGAAGTACTTTGGTCTTTGCTGAAATCAGAGCTCCATTGTTATAGCTAAGGCAGAAGCACTTGATATGGCACAAGCACTCTCAAAATTAATGAAACACACACGATAAAATCATTATCTTGGGGTAAGGTAGGAAAGAGATTGGGCTGTACTTTACAGCAGGGAGGGACAGAAAGTAGGTTGAGATCTAATGATGAATCTCCAAGTGATTGGCAAGGATTTCTTATTCCCAGGGATTTCACCAAAGCCTCCATCCTAAATTAAGTTACTGAAATTAAGGTTTGTGAGTAGAAGGATCTGTGTATCCAGTTCTGATACTGAAAACTGGGCCTGTGCTTGAAGACACTCTGTCTGCAATTCTTTGTCTACTTTCTTCAGGCTTGGTGGAGCTCCAGTTAAAAAAAATACTGAAGAAGATCCTGTAAGCTTGGAACTGCCCATCCTTGCTTTCAGTGAGCACATATATTGGTGTGATATTCCCTCCCAGTATATTTTTTCATGAAAACTATTTTTAACAAAGAACATAGCCAAGCAATTGTAGACCGCAATCTGCATTTGTAGAAGTCAGGGTTGAACTATATGCATTTCCCCACTGCCCTGCCAAGCTACAAAACCTGGCACTAAAATTTGCTGTGGTGATGGTGGCAATAAGCAAAAATAGCTTCCCTTTAAAAGTTGTGTGTGGTTCGCTACTGAAATTCACCAAGGAATTGGCAAAAGGACTACTCTGACATACGGCTACCCTGTCAAGGATTTGCAGCAACAAGCTGCACCTTCAGCTTTTTCCTCAGTGCCATCATCATGCCACCACATTCTGATGGGAGGTGGGTGGCCTGGGTGTACCTCCTGGATGGTTCAAGGGGGCCGTGTGGACACCAAGCCCCTAGAAGTTGCTCATACCAGTATACTCCTTCGGGATTAAGTCAGCCAGTGGCAAAGAGGTACTGCCGAAAACATTCAGAGGATGCATGCTCAGCTCCTTCTAGGCTACTGATTGGTCAGCTGCTTCTCTGGAGACCAACTTTCTTCGTCTTTATCTGGAGAGGAAAGAGCCAGCATTAGTCTAGTTAGGGCAGGATGTCCTAGTTGTGGGTCTTGCAGTGTTAGAACTCATGAAGAGGATTGTCGCGAGATTCAGAACAGATACAAGGAAGTAATTCACGTCCATGAGAGGTACCGACGGCCAGCAATTTGCAAGGCTTTACAATGGGATTGGACAAATCCATGGAAGATCAGGCCATCCATGGCGACTAGCCCTGATGGCTGTTTGCTCACTCCAGTATCAGGGGCAGTGTGTCGGTGCACACCAGTGGCTGGGGAGACTTGCGGGGAAGGTGCTGTGGCATTCATATCCTGCTTGGAGATCTTCTGGGCTAGAAGGACCCTTGGGTGGATCCAGCAGGGCTCTTCTAATCTTCGCATCCTTTCCCCCACCCCTAACACAGTAACCACCTCCAAGCTGCTTTGATGAATTACTCTTCCCATTCTAGAACATCCGTTTTAGTGAGCCAGCTTGATGTTTCATTGCATTTTTAAAGCAGCAGACTATGTCTGCATTTCTCTCCACTTCGTTCTTTAGTAAATACATTGAACTGAAAACTGGGGTTGATTTGATTCTTTGGCCTAATCTGAAAGTTGGCTTACCCAAGCCGTGGACTGCTTGGCAGACACACCAGCCTGGTTGTTAAAAAAAGCTCCAGAAAAGCCCCCCCCCCCCCATCCTTTTGCACATATTGGAGCCATGAGCCTGGCTTCCTACTTCATCCAGGACATGAGCAGTCAAAGCTGCCTATTTCATAGATATATTAGCACTCTACTAGGTCAGGAAAGGGTGTCTTGCAACCTGCCTTGCCTTGCAAGGTTGAAGGTGCAGACTCTGGCTTGTCACACCACAATCACCTGACCTCACAGTCACAGTCATCTTGCAATAAACCCTGCTGTGTTAGGTAAACTCTGGTCCAGTTTTTTTAAAGCTTCCTTATAACAGTTTGATAAGAGAAAGGAAAAAAGAGGAAAAACTGGTTACACAGACTTCAATAGATCAGTTTCAGTGCATTTATATGAAGTATGCGTGTGTATGCACATACCTATTTATTTATTTATTTATTTATTTAAAACATTTCTATGCCGCCCCATTTGCCGAAGCCTCGGGGCGGCTCAACATAAAATTAAAATATAAAACATTCAAATATACATACAAATTAACAGTATAAAATAAGTCGCCCTGGCCAGATAAAATAAGCAAATAATATTAACAATTAAAATGACTTTAAAAAAAAAAGGTCTTTGCCTGGCGCCGAAAAACAAATAACGACGGCGCCAGGCGGACCTCTCTGGGGAGCGCATTCTATAGATTGGGCGCCACCTCAGAGAAAGCCCTCCTCCGAGTACCTACCCTCCTAATTTCCTTCATGGAGGGTTCCCGGAGAAGGGCCTCTCCCGCAGATCTCAAGAGGCAGGCGGGCGTATATGGATGTAAGCGCTCCTTCAGGTAACCAAGACCCAAGCCGTTTAGGGCTTTATAGGTCATCACCAACACCTTGAATTGGGCCCGGGCTTCAATGGGAAGCCAGTGAAGCTGACGGAGGACTGGAGTCATGTGAACATAACGCCCAGTCCCCATCAGCAGCCTGGCAGCTCTATTTTGAACCTACATGCTCACGTAAATACAAGTTTCTAAGAACTATCTTTAACTTTAAACAAAAGCAAACCAAACATCAAAATAAGTATCTGTTTAGAAATAGGGCCTGTGCACAACCATGCTTTCAACTTTTGAACAGGTAAAGTCTTCATTACATTATAGCCAGTGAGTATTTATCCTTCCAATGTTGTAGTACAACAGTCTTTTTACTGGCACAAGGGTGCACTGAGCATGCATTAACTTTCATGAAGTAAGGAGATAATTCAAAAGAGCCTGTGCATCAGAAAGTGTGAAGGAGTGTTCCTGTACAAAAATGTATTCATATACTGACTTCTGCCCAGAATTCTTGCACAAGGTGGAAAGTTTGTGCCAGGAGACTCACTTGACTCGCAGCTTCCTAGAACCTGCCACCTGCCACCCTCCTCTCTGGCTTACCTGACTCCCTTGCAGCCTCCATTCAGCTTCCTGCAAAGACCAGCGAGTGAGCTCTCCCTGAGCATGCGCTGCAGAATGGCCCACAGCCCGCCAGAGCAGACGGTCGGCATAGCATAACCTGGTATTGAAGCAAAGCTCTGGCCCCCCCTTGGCTGCCAGGAAATGACTGGCATTCCCAGGATTTTCCCTTCAGGTGCCTACACTGCTTCAGCTGGGATTGTTGGACAAGTCACAGAATGACTCCAGTTGGAAGAGCCTGTTTTTATAATGCTTGGGATATTTTCTGACCTAAGCTGCTATTAGTGAATAATTGCCCTCCCCTTTCTTTTGGCCAGAGAAAACAGTTATTTTTTGAGCTTTCTCTGTTCTTTGATGATGCGGTATGTTCTTCTTTCCAGAATGTGGGCAAAGCACTGAGAAAAGGATGCCATTTCCTGATACTTGGCCTGCAGGGACTGGCTAACAGCTACTCATCACCGTTTGGAGTGGCTGCTTCAGTAGCAGCCACAGTTCACTAGACACGCAGCCTGCTGCTTTTGGGAAAAAGGAAGAAAGGAGCCATCCTTGAAGCACATGGCAAGACCTCCTTTGCTTGCAAACTTTGTCTTTGGAAGTGACTCTGAGCTTGGCAGTAAAAATGAAGAAATGGGTTGGATTGAACATTTGGGAAGGCTTTGCTCTCTTTATTTTCATAAGCGCTGGCATGAAAATCCGATCAAAAGAATAAGTTTGGTGAAAGATGCAACACTTTGATTCCCGGTGTCATATCTAGTACATGATGTACTTTTTTCTGCAGCATTTTCTTAACTTTTTCATAACTGCTAGGTTAAAGAAGAAGGACTGAGGTGAAAGGTATAAAATCTGGGCCAGATTGAAAAATCTAGTATTTTGTATGGACATAAATGCAAATGTATGCACAGAAGCCGAAGAAGGAACCAAGTAAGAGAGGAAGGAGGGGACAGTGGAGACCAAGAGGCAGGTAAAGGCAAGAAGTGCAAGAAGTGAAAGAGGGAACTTATCACTAGGGGTGGGTGAAAAATTTGCTCTGCTGATGGTGCAATCCTATGCCTGGTTAGAAAAAATTCCTACAAGAACGGCATGCATACCGAATGTGCAACTCCTGAGTCTTTCAGTGAGTCAGTGACGGAGTTGCTTTCTGAATTCACATTTTTTGTGAGCTTCCCAGTGCAGCTTGCCTGAGGAGACAGGCATACAAAAATTGTGCATATTTGGGAAAGTGCACCCATGAGGCATAGATCTGAGCAAAGCGCGTGTAGAACAGCATTTTGGTAATGCAAAGTACTTGGGGCAGGTGAATGCTAAGTTTAAAAACATGCACATTAAAGTCTACGTTCTTAATGTGTGCAAAAAGGTATGAATTTCCATATGGGTTAAAGAATGTAAACTTTTGTGAAAAGGAGATAGAATGAGCTTGAGCTTGATCAGACTGAGAGTGATCGGTCCATGCATCCCAGGTGTTACCTTTTCCTGGCAAAACTGCTGTCCTTTTAAATGCTGCATGATGCTCTGGAGGCCCTTTGCAGCCTTGCATCTCCCTCCTGGGGAAAGTTGCCTGGGCAGGATGCCCATGTGCCCCAGCACAAGCTTTCCTGCCATGCGAAGAAGGGGAGCACCACACCACTGGGCTGTGACTCCATCTTCTCTTTCCCACTCATCATGTGGCATCATACCCAGGCAGTTAAAGATACACATTTTATCTAATGGCTTGATAGGGGTGCCCATGTCCGGTGATGTTAAAAGTTCTGGTATTTTAAGAGGTCTATTCCATATGAATTACTGTTTTAGCTGCTAAATTGTTTTTAAATTCTATATTATGGAAAATGTTCCAACTTTTTTCATTGTACTATTCTTTGGTTTATGGAACTATATTAAACCACTCGGGGGGCTTTGGTTATTGGATGGTATCGAAGTTAAATAAATAAGCAATCAAAATACCAGCCATGCCTTCCTTTTATTCCGTTGTGTTGCCTGTGTCCTTTCCCATGCCGCACCCCCACCTTTCCTTCCTGCAGCCACATCATGCCACCCACACCTGTCCTTCCTGCATCATGTCTCCTTTCTCTTCATTGCGTTGCACCGTGCTGCCTTTCCCCTTAAATTTTCCAGTGGGCCAGAGAACTGGAGAAGCAGCTGCTACGGCCCTTCCAAGATCCTGCCGGGTCAAAATGACTGCCTCTGAGGGTTGGCAGGCATCCTCACATCAGACATGGAAGGGGCGCCTCAGGAGATTGCTGACACAGCAGCCTGGCCACCTCCTCTCCTCTCCTCTCCTCTCCTCTCCTCTCCTCTCCTCTCCTCTCCTCTCCCCCAAGTGGCGTTGCTCTTGCAGCCTCAGAAGAGCAGCCAGCACTGCTGTTTCTGCACTGGCTGCAAGGTGGTGAGAGGGAGCACCTGAGTACACATCTCCAGTTACAAGGTCTGCATGATTCTCTGATCTTGTACCTGGGAATCTCAGGAATCATCATCAGCTGCAGCTGCAGCTGGAGTCGCTACTGCATGCTGCCTCCACTGCCATCACCCTTCCTTCTCCCCCTCCCCTTCCTTTGGGTACTACCCCACAGCCATGCCGAGGCTGTTTAGAGAGTGTAGCACAATCCTGTGCTGTAAATTGCTCAAAGTATTAATCAACCGTGATTCCTGTTCTGTATTTCTTGGTTCAGATCTGTATCCCACTTGATTTTAAAGGAAAACTCATGCTCAAAAAATAAGCTAAAAGTTTACTAAGAAGATTTTAGGTTGACAAATCTGCATTCTGTATTTCAGTTGTGTTCCTTGAACGTATATATATTTAGTCATTAGTTGCATCCTAATACGAGGAATGAAAAGTATTGATTAATAAGAAGGGCTAAAATTGTCTATTTGATGAATGAGTTCTTCATAAGAAATTATATTATTATCTACCAATAAACTTAATGTGAAACAGTTTGGCTTGATGTTGATGTATCTCTTATATTCTGTTCTAAATAAGTTCATTATATATAATTATATATAATGAACCCATTCTTTATAAAATACTATTTAAAGACGTAAGAAAATTACCAAAAAAAAAAAAAAAAACCCAACAACAACAACGCCATCCAACAGCAAAAGGAAAACTATTTAAGAAACAAATTCTGAAGTTCTCGTGCTTTTGCTCCGTGCCCTCCCCCAGTACCATCTGGCCTGCAGAGGATATGAAGGGGGGTGTCCACACTAGGAGATGCCTCCAGTTCAAAGGTGTCCACACACCAGTGGTGGGGAACCTGTGACCCTCCCGAGGTCCCCATCTGGCTTTCTGCGGCTTGCCCAATGGCCCCACTCCGCTCCCGGCCACTTCTGGTTTGCTCGCTTTTCGGCTTTTGTTCTGTTTCCTCTATTCTTAGACAGTTGAAATGCTTCCCCCACGGCTTAGTTATTGGCAGTAAGTTTTACAGTGCAATCCCATGGCCCCTAAACAGCATCCAGAAGGGATTTTTTTTTGGGGGGGGGGCAGCTCTGATGTCCTGGAACAGCTCCAGCATTGGTGTACTCCAAGTGCCCTCTGCTGCCTTCCCCATGCAGCTGGCACAGGCAGTCCCACGCTGGCTGCTTCTGGGAGTTTGCGGAGTGTGGAGAAGGTATAAAGGGAGGCCAGGGATGCCAAGACATGGTGTAGCCGGGTGGCCCCCCGGCCTCTTGCCTCTCCTCCAAAATGCTGTGACTGGACTGCTGGAATCAACTCTCCAGCAGAGTGGCAGGGCAGGAAGAGGGTGGATGCCACACTGTGATCCCCTGGCCTGTTCGACCATTCAAGCTGCAGTATGTCCTTCTTGGCTTGTAGTATTTCTATGCCACTAAGTAGAATAAAGGGACTGCAGGTGGTGCAGTGGTTTAAACCGCCGTGCTGCTGGGCTGGTTGATCAAAAGGTCGCTAGTTCGAATCTGCACAACGAGGTGAGTTCCTGTTGTTCTGTTCCCAGCTCCTGCCAACCTTGCAGTTCGAAAGCATGCAAATGCAAGTAGATAAAAAGGTACCACTTTGGTGGGCAGGTAACAGCATTCCGTGCACTTCGGTGTTTAGTCATGCTGGCCACATGACCGTGGAGACTGTCTGTGGACAAACGCTGGCTCCCTCGGCTAGGAAACGGAGATGAGCACTGCCCCCTAGAGTCAGGCATGACTGGATGTAACATCAAGGGGAAACCTTTACCTTTTAAGTAGAATAAAAGCCCCAAATGGTTTGCACATAATTACTAAAATCACATTTAAGTCCAGGAGCAGTCAAATGGAGCAGCGGGATCAATGGAATTAAAGCCATGGGAGGGCTGCATGAGCAAGTGCACTTTGAGGAGGCTGTTGAAAGATGATGCGCTGTTCTGCGGCAGGAGAGCTTTGCCACCCGAGAAGGCCTGCTGCAGAGGTATGATGTGGCGACATGCAGTGACCAGTGTTGGGAAAATTCAGATAAATCCTGGCAGAAAAGGGTGGCTTATGTGTCTTTGTGTTATAAAATGCCTGCATGCCTTTCTCAGGAAGCTCCCCAAAATTCCAAGCCAGGTTACTGTTTGGCATTTGCTGTTACTTTAAAAAGTGGGACTTGCTGGCTTCCCCAAGAAGCTGCCAGGACTATTGTTTTGCTGATCTGATCAGGCTGCCAGGTTAACAGCATTGCAAGCACCCTCATTTGTATGCCAAGACTCACAATAATCCTGTGATCCTTATGTTAATATCCTGCAATCAAATGCCATTGAATTGAGCCCCCTCTGCAGACCTTTCACCTTCTTGTGGCTGTGTTCACCTTATTTTGTCATCAAGTGCCCAACTGTTGGGCCCATGTGACTCAGAATCTAAAAAATCCTCTGTATATGTTCTAAAAGCTTGTGGTTGGCAGTGGAGACCACTACCCGGTAGCATGCTGTCGTATGTAGGTAACCACAGGGGGCCTGGGTGATCTCACCCATAAAAATGCTGGGGTCCAAGGCGATTCAGTCTTCCCTGCAGCTCCTGGTAATTCATTCTCACCATTAGTAAAAAGATCCTGAACACCAGCAAGGCCTCATCTGCTCATCTTAAAGGTGAATTGGATGTACGAGTATATAAGGGAAAACTTACAATATGCTTACCGTGTAATATAGGAGGGTTTCTGCCCTGAAAAGCAGCCAAGAAATATTTTAAATGAAAAAAATATATATAGTGGTTCTTTTAAGTCTTTTTGTCTCTGGCCCTGCCCATTATTTGAATATGGCCCCTGGGGACTTGGCCCTTGGATTGAAAGAGGCTCCCCACCTCTGCCCAGCTGGCATGCACAGCAATGAAAAAAGGAATCCGTTGCTACCAGAGCATTCTGTACATACGCTGAGAACGCGTCCATCATCTGGATGTCTTCTCTGGAAAAGAGCATGTATGGAATTACAGCAAATCTTTGCATTGATTTGCTTGCTTTGCAATACTGCAGCTTGTGGAAGGGCCTTGACAAGCCTGGCCTGGGATGACATCTTGCTGCAAGCACATTTGTAGACCGTAGCTAATTGCAGTCCCAGGCCCTGTATCACCAGGATCTCGTGGAACATGTCTGTACAGCCTCCCGTTGACCGCAGCTTCTTTGAACCATCGCCATCAGGTTCTGCAGGCCTAGAGCATGGTCTGGAGGCATCGGCTGTGCAGGGAGGGGGCCAGGTCCCGCTCCAATAGATCCATCCAATTCTGCGGAGGAGGCACAGGGGTGGGGGGGGGTACCTGAGGAGGTGGCATTTTGTGGTTACCTAGTAAAGTTTCTCAGACAGAGCGTGGGGACCTGCCAGCCTTGGAAAAGAAGGGAGATATTTCAGAGCTGGGGGAGATGGAGGGGTATTTCCTTGATGCTTTCAGGAGACAATAGGTAAAACAAGTGGACCAATTAAGAAGTGGCCCAAGTTCCCTCAAGCAGCAAGAGTCCCCCTGAAGGTGGAATCAGAAGCTTTACTGAAGGGGAGGGAGGGACACGGGCAGATGCTTCTCCAGCACCTCAAGGAGAACACCACTTTGATTTATAGTGTTTTGTACCCTGTCAAAAGGCAGTGAAGGGACTGTGCTTCTAAAGTCTTGTCTAAGCCTGCTGGAGAGGGAAGACAGCGAGAGAAGCTTGCTCCGGACAGCATGTAGTCATCTTGCTAAAGCCCAGCAGGTCCCGTGCTGGCCAGTATTGCAGGAGGGACAGACTGAGAGCTCCATCGGTGCTGTCCTTAAGGTTTATTTGTTTGCTTGTTTGTTAATTTCATTTTTCATTTGGTTTGCAGTGTTGGAAACCCTGTGAGCGAAATGTTCCTCTCCTTTAATCCTAGCTGTCATATCAGGCCTTGGAGCGAAGTTGTTATTCTGCTGTGCCGTTGCTGGGACATCCGACCCATCTTATATTAGGTTCCATGAAAGATGGGGAAGATGACAATACAAAGGAAAGAAATGCCTTATTCATCTCTGTGCCTAGGGCTTTGGACAATCCAGTCTCCACAAGGAAGAATTAAGGAAAAGTTTAGAAAAAGCACATTGATAAATGAGAACATGAAAACTCTGAGCTGAGCAATTCGGATCTGTAGCTCCATCTAACTGGAAGCATATGCCACACCTGGGCAGCTTTTCTGTGGGGTCACTAAGGCTTAACTCTTAGAAGGGAAACTTGAACGGCTGCATCCTAAGGTTGTTCTCTAGCGCCCTCTTCTGTGCCAAATTCAAATTCTCCTGGGAATTAGTCAAACTTACTTGCAAATCCTGCATTAAAAAGTTCTTAGGTTAGAACTGCCTTCCCCAAGCTAAGATCCATCAGATGTGTTGGACTACGTCTCCCATCCTCTGTAGGCCAACACATCTGAAAGGCCCAAGGATGGGCACGACTGCATTATAAACACGTCCCAGCTTTTCCAGGAAAGAAGAGATGGCAGAAGGCCAGTTTGATAAATTAGACTCCTGAATAAAACAGTGGAGCTCAGGAAGAGAGCAGGTTGGAGAAGCGGCCTCGTGAGAGCTCACCCCAGCATGCCCCGCTGGCTCCCACTGGCTTGAAAAAGCCAACTTCCAAAGTGGTATTTTGAGCCCCTTCCTGAAAGTGGTGAGAGTGGGAACCAGTCACAGTGTCAAAGAGAATGTGTGCAGCCTATGTGCAGCCCCTTTGGTGGTTCCACCTCTGCCACTGCTCCAGGCGGTGCTACTGGAAGCAGCAGTGGCTATTCTGGTGGTGGCACTTCCTCGGTTTCTTCTGAGGTAGCCTCAGCTTGACCAGCTGCCTCTGGTGCAGAAGCCAAAGATGGGGCAGATCCAGGCTGTCCACAAGGTCTCCTTTCAGGCCTTCGAGAGTGACTGGGTGGTGACTGGGTGGGAAGGGAAGTGGGCTGAAAGTACTTCTTCACCAGCAGTAGGGCCACAACAGAGGCAGCCGCTGCTGAAGACACTGAAAAAAATGCCACCACTGCCAGAATAACTGCCGCTGCCACCAGTGCCTCCAGCAGCACCACTGGATTGAACACCTGGAGCAGCGGTGGAGGTAGAACTGCTAAAGTGCCTTTGTGCTCAACCGCAAGAGCAGGCGAGGCACACTGGGATGAGCTCTCAAAAGGCCACTGGCCCAAACCACTCTCTTCCAGAGCCTCACAAGCCTGCCCTGCACTGCTCCTGGTGGCTTTAACAAGCCAACTTTGAAAGAGGTATCTTGACCCCCTTCCTGAATATGGAATGAGTGAGGACCACTGGCAGCTCCAGAGAGAATCTGTGTTGTTTATGTGATTGTCCCAGAAGATGGTTCTCCTGTTGCTGCTGCTCCCTCCTGTAGCTCCTGACAGGACAAGTTCTTCAAGTTGGAATTCTAACAAAGAATTCTCAGCACTTCTCACTAAACTATAATTGCCAGAATTCTGTCTCAGTAAAAACACAAATCGTTTTTAAAAACCCCGTTTTTTTTTTATTAATATGACATTTGCTTTGAGTAGTTCTTGTTTCTA